TAAAAGCTATCCACTTAGTGGCTTCTTCAGAAATTTGCATTATTCAACATGAATTAACCATGGTTATGTTTTAGAAGCTATTTCAAGTACAAAATTTGCACTTAACACTGAAATGCTCCAAGAATACTGATGCACGGTATGTCTGAAATAAATTCTCAACTTTGCACAGGGGATGTTGTTTAACAACTATCACTTTTCAAACTCAATTCACTTCAAGAAGAGTCATGACCCCTTTCCCTAGAACCTCTGCCAGACATGTACAGCTGAGATTAAGTGTGTCATCTCCAACTGACTTATCTAAAGTTACAGGACCAGAAAAGAGATATTCTCAGGCTTTAATAATTGTAAAATTTAGGTGATGTCATTTCAAAGAAGTAAAGCTACAAAAATGAAAAGCATGAAAAAGACAGGCACCAATCTTTTACGGTTTTTAGTACTGTTATAGTATTAGCTTGTATTTTTGGCTCATGAAAGGGAAACCAGAAGGAATCAGCTAAAATTAGAATGTGTGGAAGATATATTGCTATGCACAGGTGGAACCCCTCTATTGTTTCTTCCCACTCCCCATTCTCCCACCACTACCTTATCTAAACCAGGCACCACATAATACTGACCAAGGCCAGGGTTTAGCACTGAGTTCTGCAAAGTGTCTTCAGCTATCTGCAAGAGTGAATCCTTACGTGTACTGTGATACTACCGATCACCACAGCTGAAGCCAAAATCAATGTGTAAGGCATTCAATTCAGCAAGGGCCATCAGCACCACTACAATTCCAACTTAAAAAATTAGGAGCAGCTGCTGTGCTATCTGTATTCTACACAACTCCTCATTCAGCTACTTAACTGACTGGAAGTGGCAGGTGGGAAAAGATGATGATAGGGTTTCCTTTTTTATCTAGGTATGTTAAAGTATGCCCAAAAGAAAGCTGATTATGTTTGCAGAGGTCAGGCAAAGAGAGGGAGGGGTTTCATTCTGTGTCAACCCAAGGTTTGACCAAGGCTTCTCATTTTAGTGTCCTTAAACTAAGCCATGTTGCAAGATGTACACAAAATGGCTCATATCACTGACTGTGTCATCCTTGACACCTCATGTTTTAAGTATGACTAGCGGTTCTTATTTGAGTAACAGATACATCTTCGAGGCCAGTATACCGTAGAGTCAGAAAGTCCCCCATCCCCACACGCTCTTTGAAGACAAATACAGAGTCCTCAAGAGTTTTAAAACAGGCTCCACACCTCTATCCAACTGAAGTGATTTCTGGCATTGAGACAAGAGACTCCAGTAGTATTTTCACACATTTTGCACGTGACAAATGACCCCCTTTTACCATCATGAGGTCTATCCGTCAATATACCTTTGATTGGTGTTCATAGTGGAGACTGATTCAATAAATCTGCCAACACTTCAACATACTAAGAGGACAGATTGTCAATAGAAACTTGTAACAGTAGTTTTTATACTTCCTCCTTATCTTAATCTATATGATGAAGACTAATACAACCTCAAATCTTCCTAGGCTGTTTAACCCATTCAGTTTATTATCCTGTCTTTTTTTTTTTCATCTGTACTCATTTTCTCATTTGAAGTACAGCTGTTTACAAAGTCTAGATTCTCAAGAAGTTAAAAAGTTAACCCCCTGGAGTTAAGACCCAGATGTTAACTTTTAATTTTTGGGTATCACTGCAAAAATAGACTTCTACATTCAGTTTTCCACGCATCCATTTTCTGCTTCTCAAGTAGCTAACAGAATACCTCAAAAAAGGAGCACGATGTTTACTTACAAGGAAGTTATGAAAAAAACTGCTTGCCCTGCTAACTCCTGACCTGATTCTAGTCTCTACCTCCTCAACAGCAGAGATGGCTATTCATTCCTGTGTCCCCACCACTGCCTCAGAAGACTTCCATCTAAAACTGGGCAACGGATTCAAGATTCTAGCAAGTGGGTGGGTAGATCCATCACCTTTTCCCTTTCATACCCTCCCTCTGATGCGGAAAGGAGTAGATAGCCTCTTCTAACTTAACTTCTCTCCACAGGGATCCTGCTATCATGCCACATGAAGTTTTGGCACTCTACAGTATTTGCAAAGCTGGCATGTGGGAAAGTGAAAAAGCATGCTTTGGCCAATGACATTTTCTGCCAGTTCAGGTCCCACATTACATGACTATGCCCTTCACACCTCTTGGCTGAAGTTTGGGAAAAAGTTGACTATAAAACCCTCAAACTGCATATGCTAAGTACAGAAAGGAATTGAAACAAGACTTCAGATATTTTTAATATAGGAGATTCCCTCTAACTTCTTGGAGTACACTAGTTCCCATCTTTCAGCATTTTCTGTATCCTATATTCTTTAGCTCTTATTTCTTTCTCCAGTTTCATTTTCTCTCTGGTAAGCATTTCTGCTTCTGTAGAGCTGTGCGAAAAGAAGAATAAGAAGGACACGTTTCACTTCATTACAATTAGTTTGATATTTAGTGTATATACCGAGGCAGGGGTTACCAACTGAAGCTGTCAAATCAGCAGCTGGCCCTCTGAAAAGGACTCAAAAGTGGGGCACGTAAGGAGACTGTCAGCATGCCTTCCCCAGAACCCACATACCCAGCCCATCAGCTGCAGGCAGATCAAGCTGTACAGATACAGTCTCACAATGAGTTCTCACTAAACTAGCATTTTTAACATCACATCGGATCTACTGAATGAAAACCAGCTGTCATAGGCCTCCATTTTCTCATGTTTCAAGCGAAGAATCAAAGATTTGTCTAAAAAGCAGAAGGATCTAATAGGACTTCAAGAATGTCAACAGCATAGATAAAATTAGCTAAAATCCCTACTTTCCCATAGCAATGAAAAACATACAAAGTGTTAAAAAAAAAAAAGAAAACAAAACACAGAAGCCTTTTTTGGAGTCTAAAAATCCTACAGTAATATATGTAAACATATTCCTTTGTACAGCTACATATGTATTTCAGTAAATCTATGTCAGTTCTGTAAACAAGATAGGACTGCAATTATACCAATTCCTCAGAGCTGGTTCTACACATACGCGAGGGCCAAGCCATTCCTCCTGTTGAAGATTGGAAGAGAAGAAAAAAAGAGAGCTGAGTTCCAGCTACTTTTTTCTCACCTATTGCTTAAATCCAGCCTTTCATGCCAAAAAAGGCAAATTCATTTTTGCCTCTTACTGAAAGTCCTTGAATCATTCTACCTACACTGCTGTTTGACATTTAAAGGAAATGGCCATGGTTGAAGTGCTCACTGTTAAGGCACACATAGTAATTCATTATTCATCCTGCCCTCTCATGGTCCTATCAGGCAATTAACAGAAATCACAATTTAAAAGCAGGTGCTGAAGCTGTTAGGTACTCCTCAGCACCTTCTATATTACACTCACTACAGAGGTACCAAAACAACTCTTCCACTATATGACTGTATTTAATTCGAAATCAGAAGTAGTAAAAAAGTCAAGTCAACATGGCTTGAAGACTATCTTGTCCAACTTCCTATGTTTATAAATACCAAGCATCACTAGCTCCATTTTCTTCCTCTGATCTAGCAAGAACTACTTCTGTCCCATCTTTAGTTTGCACCCCTTGCTTTAGTCATAAAAAGAGCTTTATCTAAATGTTTTATTATTTCTTAACAGGCATCAAAAAACGCACATTGTTTCCGCAAATTTAAAAGAACTACTTTTAATTCACATCAAAATAAGAGCCTTATTTCCAGGGTCAAAACATTTCAGAGCTTCACAATGTGTAAGAAATTTCTTTAAATTAAAACAAAGTACAAGCATTTTCTTCCTTCTAACCAATCAGCCAAATGTGGCAGAAAGCTCAACAAAAGCAGAGTATTTAGATCGCACAGAAAGGAAACAGTTCCCTTAAAGGGGGACCATACAGAAGTGCAAAAATGGGAGAAGATGGTCTGAACAGATGGGAGTCTTCATCAAGGCACTTCAGTATTTAACTCAGCAGTGAGACAGCTCCTATCGGGGTGCATTATGCTGCACAGAAACCAGCAATCCAGCCTCTGGAGGCAGATCATTTCCCCTTGGATTCACTGGGATCTCCTGAGTTCTGGCAAGTTAGAATGCTAAGCCTTGAGATGCCACAACCACATACAGGAACGTGAGTCTGAGCTGAAAACACTGTCAAGGCTGCTGTTAACTAAAAATCACATAATCACAACTCGAAAATAACGCTTACTAAGCAATTACTTTGCCACAATATCATTCCCCTCTCCCACCAAATTTCCAGTTATCCAGTAACTCCTTTGATACTCAAACATACAAGCTTTGCACCTCCCATTCAATCAAGGAGGATTAATTGTCTGCTCTAAACGCAAGTATCAGATGCTGCCTACTATATACATTTTTTTTATCTGTCCTACAAATACCTCTAATAGTAATCAAATATTCAAGTGATATCAAAATATTGATGCTGAAGCAGGCAGACTGGAAAGAGATCTTCTTGGAAGATTCATGTACAAGTGTAAGATTTTTTGTACTTAATTGCACATACCTGAGGAACACAGAAACCACCTGCAGGCTATTTTTAATCCAATTTTTAGGGCTCAAAAGCTGCACCTAAGCAAGCTCACAGTGCTATTCGCTCAGGCATAGCTTTGGTTACAGCTGTTCCACACAATACTGAAGATAATGTACTATGTTAAAATGAGTATTTCAGCTTCTTTTCTTTCTTTAGACATGTTACTCCTACACCTTAAAGCATAACTGTATATTCCTGATGACATTCACCAGTTGGCAGCAGAATCAAACCCAGGGATTTAATTAGCTTCTTGTTCCAAGACTACACTTAGATCTATACAACTTATGACTGGAGACCTTGGAAATACATTTTGCACAGCCCACCCCTGGTTTTAGCCCAAATTGTTTACGTTGCTACCTTTAAAGGCAAGCAAAAGAATTAGAAAGAGAACAACAACTTTCCCTTTTGTTAGCAATACCTCCTTCTGTCAAGAATCATTCCAGGATTTGCTTACTTACATCTAGTGAATCCTCATTGACCAGGATAAGAGACATACTCTGGGAAATGAGTCTGCAAGAGTACCCTGCAGGAGAAAAAAAAATAAAAAAAAATTTACTTTTTTGGAAGAATATTTAAGGTTTAGCTAAACTCTTAGGATAAACAGATATAGGTCAAATAATTTACTTTTTGAGCAGTTACTCCTATGAAGCAGGCAACTGAAAACATTGGTGTATATGACACAAGAACTTGCCAACTTTACTAGCAACACAGGCTGCATTTTATCTTCACTTCCCAAGTATATCACTTAAGATGTTTTAACCAAAGAAAACACTGTATGAACTAGACACAGTAAATAGAGGATGTAGCCCTAGAACAAGAATAAGTATTTTTAAACCTAAACTTCTTTTTATCTACATGAAGGCAGAACTGCCTTCCACACATTACAGGAACAGACCTGAACGCACAGCTGCAGCTATGCCACAGGACTAGAAGCACACACATGGAAGCCACTGGTGCTACCCACTCCCCTCAGCCCACACTTGCATTATATGATCATTTTTTACTCCTGAGAGTTTACTGTGAGAGGTCCTGAGCTTCATCAAAAACTATAGATCAGTGACACACACTGAGCCCTTGCCAACTCATATAGGCGTTAGGTAATTGTACTAGATTATTCTCAGTGCAACACTGTGGCATGAAACAAGAGCAAGTTGCCGTAGTCTGGAGCAGCACTCGGAAGGCAGTTCCGTACATTTGCCAGGACACCAGAAGTCAAAGCAAAATTTCAAGATGAAAAAAGTCCCTTATTTTTGTAGGGGTGAAAGCCAGTGACTGCAATACTACTCAGTGCCACTGAAGCAGCAGTTCCTCTGCCACATGATTGCCACTGGCATGAGACAGTCATACCCAGGATATAGATACTTAGCATCTCCAGAATAAATACTTTAATTCCAGTTCTTATTAATGGCAAGAGACAAATGCAAACTCCCACTGGACTGACCCCACTGCATTTTCCTAAAAGCTCACACAAGTTCTCCCTGGACTGGCACAGTCCCCTAGCTTCATAAAAAAGCAGCAAATTCATTTATTTGAAGCACATGCCTTTTTCTGTGTAACAACAATAAAAGGAAATAAAACAATTGTTTTGTATTTCTATTGTGTTTTTATATATAAATTAATGACAGTAAGTTTAAAAAATTGTAGTTATAAAAATGTCTCAGTCTTTTACTTTTCTTAAATGGAAACTGGAGGCCACTGCAGTAAAAGAGTAACATTCCAGTAATTAAGCACTGCAAGGCCAACAGGTTCAACAGCAGAGCAGCACAGCCCATATAAAAAGATTAAGTGTGTCTCCATATTTCACAACAGCAAAAGAACAACTGAGGTATGAATTTATTCTCTGTAAGAATTCTTGGTTCCTTAGGAAGGCCATACAGGCTCATCAATTGCAATGCAAATCACTTCCCCAGGCTACAAAATCTTCTACAATTGGACTAGTTTTGTAGGTATAATCCAGCGTTAGTGTATCTGTACAAACAACTTCTGTCAAAGTAAATTCCTCATTTCCCTTTGTGGAAGGCATATTTACATCACACAGTCAGGGCCTTTCAGACAGCAGGTTTGATTACATCCAGAAGTTTTGCTTCTCTTCCATTTCCAACGGTGTGGAGTATGAGTATCAGGTGCAACCTTGCAGATACATATTTTCATCTTACTTGTGTTAATGAGCTGAGGTTTATCATCTGCTTTAAAGAACAATACAAAATTACATTGAACTCGCATACACCTGTTGAGAAAAGGATGAAAAATATTCCAGAGTGCAGCCAACAATATGAAAGCTTTGGAGATAGCCTCTGACTCTGACTGTGAACAAGTTCTTAGGTGGTAGCATGGCATTGAGCAAAGAAGCTTCAACAGGTACAGACAAAACACTGCCTTGGGAAAAATCAGTTTGCCATTTTTAAAAGTTACTCCCAGGCTGAAGAACCACTTCATTTTTTTTTTACTAAGGAGAGAAAGAGAATATTATGCACTCCCCTGTTTGTCAGGATTATTATTTCCCCAGGGAATGGCAACAGCCTTGTGCAGTAGGCTGTTACAAATTCAGTATAACTAATTCAATGGATTTTTCTAGTAGCATTTGATTTGAACAGCAGCTGCAATAGCAAGCTGTAATTTCTAAACCACTGCTCACTGTTTCCTTTTATCTGTTTCAAAACAAGCAAGATGCCATTCAAGTGGAGCTAGGAAAAAAAAACAAACCAAAACAGAACAAAAACAAGTGTGAAGAATAGAGCTGGTGTGCCATGCATCCTGGAAGTCATGGAGTCAAAAGAACTAATCCTGCAATTAAGGTAATTTTGCATCTTGTCATCACATTAAACATAAAGGAAGGAGATCAAGATTGGAATAGGAGGATTGAAGTCAAGACTAGCAACAGTTTATAGGTGATCTATACATTACGTGTAATTTTAGGACTATGAAATCATTCAAATCTAGCACTAGTATAAATCAGAGTAATTGGCAACTATAAGATTACAAGTGACATCTGTAGTCATATTTTAAAGTTTTATAATAGTTTTTACAATAGTTACTACCTGCAGTACTAACATGGCAAGCAAAAATACACTAAGATCAGGGCACATTTTTGTCAATGATTCTGAGTACAGTACAATCAGCTGCTGGTTTAAAGCCAGGTATAGTGTGTCAATCCACACCTGTAAATTGATATCTAGCTCTAATTTAAAGTCTGACTAAAAGATCATGAAGTAGATGAATTGGGTACTTCTGGGACTTATTTCCCCTTCAAATGTCCTGGAAGACAGACTGCTTGAACCAGAGTTCAAGATCACAGCCAACAGGCACGTTTGTACTGCAGACATACAAAACCCAGTGTCTGAGGCAAGGATGATTATCCTGTGTTTGGAGACAGCACATATGCCCTGCTCAAACTTCACACAGGGATACAGGCAAGTGTGCTGGCATTGCTTCAGTTCCCTCAACTTAAAAATCACAGCTTACCGTTACAGAAGCATTGTTACCTCTAAATTGGAAAGACAGAGGTTTGATGGATGAACTGTTAGATGGGTAAGGAACTGGCTGGATGACTGCATCCAAAGAGTTATAGTCAATGGCTCACATTCCAAGTGGAAGCCAGTAATAAGTAGTGTCCCTCAGGGGTCAGTCCTGGGACCAATACCATTTGGTATCTTCATTGACAACAGACAGTGGGATTGAGTGCAGTCTCAGCAATTTTGCAGACAACACAAAGCCAAGTGCTGCAGTTGGTAAGTTAGAGGAAAGGGATGCCGTACAGAAGGACCTTGACAGGCTTAAGCAGTGGGCCCATGTGAAACTCAGGGAGTTCAACAAGACCAAGTGCAAAAACTGCACCTGTGTTGCACCAATCCAAAATATCAGTATAGACTGGGGGATGAATGGACTGAGAGCAGCCTTACCTGGGGATAGGATATTGGTGGATGAAAATTTGGACATGAGACCCCACCTGGAGCAGCGCATCCAGATCTAGGGCCCCCAGCACAATACAGACGTGGACCTGCTAGGGCAGGTCCAGAGGAGGGCCTCAGAAGCCGTGAGAGGACTGGAACATCTCTCCTATGAAAAAAGGCCAAGACAGTTAGGGCTGCTCAGCCTGGAGAACAGGCTGTGGGGAGACCTTTCAATACATAACGGGGCCTTCTAAAAGACTGAGAAAGACCTTTTACCAAGGCCTGTAGTGACAGATCAAGCGGCAACGTTTTTAAACTGAAAAAGTATAGATTTAGAGCAGACATACAGAAATTTTTTTTATGATGGGGGTGGTGAGACTGCAACAGGTTTCCCAGAGAAGTTTTGGATGACACATCATGGGAAAGGTTCAAAGTCAGGCTGTCTGGGGCTTTGGGTAGTCTGATCTAGTGAAACATGTCCCTGCCCATGGCAGGAGGATTGGACTAGATCTTCAGAGGTCCCTTGCAACCCAAACCCTTCTATGATTCTCTGATTGGAAAGCAGTACTTGCAGCTGTGAATACATACTTAAGTAAGAACACAGAGCTCAAGAGTAGGGATTGATTCCATAGTCAGTGAGGGATGAAGTTCAGTGAACACTACATCCCCATTCCCAGAAAATAACCTGTTACTGCAGAAGTTCTTAACATCAGTTCGGATTTTCTCACACTCTCGTGAGCACCAAGATGTTGGTAAATAGATATCTGCCATGGATTTTTTTGCCTCACTGAAAGGCAAAGGATATCTAGAGTCTGCAGATCATTTTAAGAGAAGGATGAAGCTACAAGAACACTTAAGTCTTCTAGAGTCGTTTGTAGACACTGGCTAAGGACAATTTTGGCTAACAAAAAGTGAAGATCATATGTCATGCTCAAAATTGTTTCAGAACCTGGAAGTCCTATTTCTATAGGTAGAGAGTTCAAATTGTTGAGCAGTATTTATCAGGAACATCCTCCTCACCTGCAGGACTATCTGCTGGCACATGGCTGAGTAGAAGGCATTGAACTACCCCACAGCAAGGTCAATCGTTATTCTTCAGACAAGTCAAGAAAGCAAGAAACAGACACACATGTGAGTTCTTTAGGCCAAAGAATCAAGAGGAAGATGGATTAATGAAGTACTCCAACTCCTTGGGGCAGCTGCCAAGACCTCAAATATCCCCTCAATACATATGCATATCCATACAGCAAACAAGAGTCCATAAGCATAACCTACACGCACAATGACAAAGTGAAAACACTTTTTACTTCCTAGATGACATATTTACACCTGAAACAAAGTATACACATGGATTAGGTTTGAAATTCAATGTTGATTACAGTTTTAATGGATTACATGCAGAAACTGGAAGGGTGCCACATGTTTGTACTTTCAAGCCCATTTGAGCATGAAGCTAATTAAGGTCCAGAGTTTTACTACCCAATTATACACTAAACAAAACGATAGTTTATGAGTTTTAAGACATGCTTATTCTTTTCAAGGTGCTATCATTAAAAAAAAACCCAGTTTTAGAGACAAGCTGGAAGTTAATCTATTTCACAGCCTTAAGAGTAAGCAATTGCTATAAAGGCCATTTACTTGTTATCACGCGAGCTGCTGGCAACTAATATCAACTTATTTCAGGCATTCATGCCAAGATCTGTAGATACCTTCTTTTTATTTTGTTAAAAATCAATGCTTCCCTCCTGTAAAGGTGACTACTGCTTTTAAAGTAAGCGTAATCAGAAGACAGTGATTCAGACCAGACAACTAGAATCTAAATCATCTACTTAAGCCATCCAGTTTATTTCTACTGCAGCTATATCAGTTCAGCAAGTTAATTCATCTCTCAGTACCAACTTCAACATACTAAGATACATGAAACTTGATTCAGTTCTGACAAGTAAACAAAAATTCTAGGCAGGCAGATTACATTCTTAAATTGCATTAAACCACCTAAGCAGAAAAAAAATTTAAGAACAACCAAAAAATAGCAAATGCCAAAAGATCTGCTGAAGGTAATGTAAGTTCAGTTAGAGAGTCACAGTTCTGCTAGGTGCCACCTGAAGTACACCCAAGACCCATCTATAGGTAGTTCTACATATAAACAGCTTCATTAGACACATTTTTCGTATAGTTAGAGAATCTTGAAGTTAACAGGAGCTCAAGGCTAAGGAAATTGTTTCTTCAACAGAAAGTAATCTATGCTGTTAAGGATCCCCTTAACCTATCGCTGTACATCATAACAGACTGATCTGCAAATGTGAATGTAGTTGTGGATGGCACCTTACATGGGCATGCTAGAGACAAGGGGAATAAGCAGAGTGTTCTAGATTGAAGAAAGAAGGTGAAAGTGTCACTCAGTTCTGTGAGATGTCACATCAGAATGCCACTATGCCTCTGGGCAGATTTACCAGCTACAGAAAAAAAAGCATCAAAAAATACAATAGCATCATGGCACTACAATGCCACGAATGCCATACTTGAGAGGTGTATGTCACAGGGCATGGCAGGGTGCTTGTATCAGGATCTGTTCCTTTACTAAATCTTTACTACTCAGCTAAGACCAGGATAGTCCCTCTCCTAGGAGGCTATTAGTGTTGTGTAAAGGGCTATGGCACAATTGCAGCATAGGTACAGCTCACAAATCAGCATTTCAAGCACAGCAGCATTCTGTAACAGCAGAGGTACCACTACCCAGGTTGCCCACCTTGCAAGTATCTACAGTGAGAAAAAGGCTCAAAGATTTATGTATTGACTACTAGCACACTTAGCCATGTGGCATTTCCAACGCAAGACTAGCACGGTATCAGAAATGCTACCGAGCACACCATCTACCTGCTACAGGATTGAAATTACAACGTGCACCTCCAGTTCAGCCTAGTATTACCATAAAACCTTTGTATTTGACTATTACGAAGAGTTGGGTCTATAGGCTGATTTTATCAGATACAGTTATGACCTAAAAGGAAACCTAATGTTTAAAGGCTGCTTCTAACAATGAACCTAAACTTAGTGCTAAAAACTCTTTACTTCTATGCTGCAGAAGCAGGCAGTCAGATGAACACTTAAGCAGGTTACCCTTCTATTACATCAGTACCCAAGCACACCTGTCTGATACTTAAATTCGTACTTTTTGTTCCCATCATTGCAAGTTGGGGTGGCGTTTTTTTGCATTAAGTGCATAGTTTGTAAGTTCAGATGCATTAATAAGTTTAAGACAAGGATATCCATGTTTTGCCTTGATAAAACAACCCATACTAAACTCTGTCCATACACTCAATAGCAGCGACCCACTTCCACTAACAGTCACAATATACTTGACTAACAGATGTGCCGCAGAGTAACAGCAGGAGCAGTTATTCAAGTATCCACCTACTTTCACAGACAAGATCTGCAAGAAGCTCTAAGCTATGTGTTTCGTATTACAGTATTCCCCATCATATCCCAAACAGCATTAAAGTCTAGGAGAGGCAGTCAGTAAGGAAAAAAGCTGTAAAACAGTATGATATAATACACAGTATAACTGAGATCAGTCTGATTGAGCTCTCCAGTTTCCATCAGAACAGATACATATATTGATTCTGTATAAAAATTGCACTTAACCAATAGCAGAAGTGTTCCTTTTTTCTGAAATAAACCTGAATATAGCTGGACATTCAGAGCAAAGACTTCACCTCAAACCCCCATCTCCTCCAAAGTGAAAGAGATGCCTGCCTGCCGGCCACCAAGGAACCATTCCCTCCTAAACAAGCCTGATTTTGTTTAAAACCGCACACAGCAGATCTAGTACGTAACCTGCTACATATCAGACAAATTCAAAGCAACCAGAAAGATGGATACCTATATTGAGAGCTGTTTCCTGTTTGTCCCCTGTCAGAATCCATATCTTAATTTCTGCCTTCATTAGTGTGGCTATTGTTTCTGGAACACCTGCTTGCAGGCGGTCTTCAATGGCTGTAGCTCCAAGAAGCAGCAAATCCTGGAAAAAAAGAATTTGAGGGATTGTTTTCTTAAGATAAACCTCTGTTTGAAACACACTCAAAAAGGAATTAAACGCAGTACGTTGTGCCTCATGGCTAATACAGCATTTTGACAAGCAGTATACACTATAGTACATTCCTGGTGTGGCTATTCTACTTCCTCTGCATGCAATTTGCATTTGAAGTAGTACAGATTGGAACAGAGTGTTTCTGATCAGAAAGATGGCAATCTTTCAAGAGCAATTAATTTAAGTTACACAACTCCAAAGCTCACCTATGGATGAACGTATATACTAGAGCATTCACTAATCAACATAGCAACACCATGAGTGGTCACAGTTTATATATTTCTTAAACTCACAGAAGAAAAGTCACCTGGCATCACATCATTTAAACTAATTTCCCTCCCATAAAATGTACATACAGACTGGATACAATCACTCAAAGCAAAAATTACCGCAGCTATTTATGGATATAATCACTACATTTATGTAATACGATTGGTATGAACATTAATCAATCCAAGTATCTCTAGTTAACATACAGATGTCTGCCAGAAAAACATGTCTTGTACACCAATTTAATACTACAGAGTTAGGCAATTCTAAAGCAATCGCTTGAAGAGGTTTGGCCATGTTACAGAAAAGTCAGGCAGACAGGGAGATGTAAGAAATAAACCTTGTCAAAATGCAAAAATCTACTCAGCAGATTTTAACTTTAAAAGCATTTTAATGATTCCTTAAACAAGATGTTCCATTTAAAGGAAATGACACAAATTGAGTTCAGTTATACTGTATTTTCAGGAACTACACAGAAAAAGTAACAGCTCCTATTCTTTGTAGGGACTGTAATTATTCCAAGTGAAAACAGATGAAGTGTACAGAAGTACTTAGGTGAGTTGTTCAGCCTGGAGAACACAAGACTCCGAAGAGACCTCATTGTGGCCTTTCTAAATATCAAGGAGGCATATAAGTGGAGAGGGACTGTTTAGCAAGGTCTGCAGTGGCAAGACAAAGGGCAATGGTCTTCGACTGAGAGTGGATTTCAATTAAACATAAAGAAGGGATATTTCACTAGAGTGGTGAGACACCAGAACAGGTTTCCCAGAGATGTTCTGGATGCCCCACTTCTAGAAATGTTAAAGGCCAGGTTGGACGGAGCTTTGATCAACCTGATCTAGTGAAAAGTGTCCCTGCCCACGGGTGGGAGGTTGGACTAGGTCATCTTTAAATGTCCCAACCCAAACCATTCTGTGATCCTATGAAGACAACGCTAGAGCAGCTCCTGCTTATATGCATCTATGCAAGCATAAAGAACAGAAGGGGAAGTTGTTATTCATCCAGGTGTGCAAGCTGGCATTAGTTGCAGGTCTTGACAAAGCTTAAGTTTCTTAATGAGATATTCAGCTGTTAAAAGGTAGTAGAATCAACTCACACAAGTCATGTGCTTTAGTACCCTGTAGTCTCCTGATGAAACATTAGCCCTATCCATGCTAACATTTGAGGGTTACAAATGCAACCCGTGTGTGCCATCACAGATTGTCTTTTATTCCGCAAGTCACTTAAGCAGTTAAATATGCAAGTAATGGGCATGGTGGAGCTACCTGAGCAGAGGAGTTACTGTTGTGCCTGCGGAAGCCCTCTCAGCCAGAGTACAAATAGGGAAGGAAGTCAGTTCAAGTTTATCTCCACACGTACACTTGTACTATGATTCAATGATCTCACTCTGACAAACTAGCTTTCCCACCCTTATTTGAGGCCTTAGGTTAAAAAAAAAAAAAAAAAAATCAGCCTGGTAAAATACATTAGATTTTATGTTACAGACTCAAGCCAGTTTATTGTCTAGAATAAGTGCCTGCAGACCAGAAAATTTAACCTGGGAAATAGCAGCTGTAAGAAAAAATAGTAAGTTTCAAGTGCAATTCCTTGCTACTCAGTATGACCAGATAGCAAACATTAACAGGAACAGAATACACCGGGTATTTCCTACCAGTTGTGGTGGTGCTAACCCCCTGGGCCACGTTGTTCTATTGCCCTGATTAGAACTGCAGTGAGCAGAGACTGCCTGGCACCTTCTTGTCCTTTATACAACCGCAGTGAGTTGGGATGATTAGGCACTCCCTACCCACGCCCCAAACTCCTGCTGGCTGGGAACTGTATGAAAACATGACTGAAGTCAGTCATCTTGGGATCCTATAACTAGCAATGGTAAGTGACACTGAGCTCTCCACGATCGCAGCAGGCAATCAGATCCCTCTGAGTTGTGATGCCTCTCTGTGGATTTTGTGAGGAGTTCGAAGAGATTTACAAGACTGTCAGAATTGTCCACTGATAGATGCTGACAAAGAGAAAGGGTTCAAAGATCTTCTGCTGACAAATGCTGATGAAGAACAACAGTGATTAATTCACTACAACTAGATTTTGCGAGGTTTCAACTATCATTTGGTACCAGTAATTTATTATCACAGGTTAACCTCTGTATCTGAGTGCACGTGTGTTCATATGCACATTTCATTTAGGAATCTTTGTAGTGTTGATTATAACAAATTTTATTAAATCACCCTTATAATTAGCCAATGATTAAGTCTTAAAAATCATTCAATCTAATTTTGTCGTTTACTCTAATACTGTTAATAAATCTTAAATCGCTGCTACCTCAAAACTGCATAGGATCCATAACCAGTCATTGCCTGACAAATAAGCCTAATAGCTCAACAAGATAATTTTCCTTACCCTTTAATTCCATTAGACAAGCCATTGACCAAGTCTGGGACTAAGACTAGATCTAGCTGCACCTAGACCCCTCTCTAAGAAGTTTAGAAAGCAAGTGGGTCAAGTCAGCCTGGTGACTCAACATGAGGGCCTCCTTTACGTTTTTGTCTTTGATCTGTGTACAAATCTTTTTCAATCAATTCTAACTTGATTTTCCCTTTGCATGTTTCTTTTATGTAGCAACAAAATTTGATGGCAACATTCACTCCACATTAAAGTTGCATTTCTACAAATTCACATTAAAATCACTTCTGGTAAATCACTGTCAAAGGTATTAAGTGATCTAAAACACTTATCTGCAACTATGTACCCTGGCACTATGGCACTAAGTTGAAAACTCCAATTCTACAAGGCACTCATGGTTCCACTTTCTTCAAGATATTAAATTGTGAAAAGAGGCACAAGGTAGACAGAAAAAATTAAAATGTGTTCTCAAACCTCAGACAAAGAGAATCAAGCCATGTTCGTTTCTTACTTCAGTGAAAACAGAAGAGCACGAGAGCACAGTGCAGGAAGGAGAAAGCTCAAAGGAACTACACAAGCCTACAGAATCAATGATTACATAACCACATGCTACTGACCAACCAACACAAACGATTATTTATGGCATTAGTTTGAAAAGCAGGACCCAATCTTCAGCTATTAACAAGTTGCTGGAGTTCTGTTACCCTATGAAAGCTAGCTCCCATCCTAATCTCAACCTCCTTCCCTCTTCTGCCCCAACTAACTCCACAGTAGTGGTCCAGAACTTAGGTGGCAGTGTTGATGTTAATTTTAAAAAAATTTAAGATCAGAGAGGGTTTTAAAGGAGCCACTAAATAAAATGAGAGGGAAATAACTGCAGCAAGGTAAGAGAGCATGAACAGGTATAGGTGAGAAGTGTGACCACCAGCATTTCAGAAAACAGCAAGACCAAGTATCAAAAAAACACTGGCCCCCAGTGCTGACATTTTAATATTTCATTCAGTGTGGGGTTAAGTTTCAAAATAGTTCTCTGACACCTACTTTCCCCTTTCAGAATTACAAATTCTGCAATTTGCATGGAGAATAGTTTCTCATGTTTTTTCAGTTGATGCAACTACAGGCCTTGGTGAGGACTTTGTTTTGTCTAGTGTCTATAACAGCCTTCAAAAAACCTGATCCAAGACTGCTGTATGAAAAGGAACAAATTTTTTCTTCGTATACTAGCACATGAAAACTTGGTGCAACACAATGGTTTTCTACGTTATCTTCATCAAGTCACATCAATCTTACACCAGATTGCAAGATAAAAAGAATGTGAAAAAAGAGTTTAAGTAGCAATGACCTTTTACACATAAGTTTGTCTCAGATTTATGAATTAAAACTGGAGAGGTCTCTGGACTGAACAAGTTGCAAACTAAAAATACCTTTTTGGCTTCTCATTAATTCAATTAACAGTTTGTTTTACCATATAAAGCCTAAATTCCATGGGGAAAAGACACATAAGGAATGTGTATCTGATCATCAAAAAAGCACATCTTACCTTTTCAATGATCTCATAGCATTCCTCCAGCTTCTGAGTCCTGTCTTTCAGAACTGTACTGGTTTCATTGTAGACATTCAGCCACTCTCTGTAAGAATTTTCTGACAGATCCGCATAAGCAATGCACAAAGTCCTCAGACCTACAAAGCAGAAGGCAGCCATTACATATAGTAAAATTACACTGAGTATCAGCAAATCATTAATGCCCTAAAGAATTCTAAATTCTAACCCTCTCACTGGAACAACAGGAGCTTTTAATGCACACTTAAACTCTGGATTCCAGAAAAACTCCCTGTATATTTTTAAAGCATTTGAGTTTTCACAAAGTGTAAAACAGAAGTCTGGCTCATTTTGGTTACTACCATTGGTACAAACCAGGAGAGCCTAACGGGCACTAACTTCTCCCTGATTTTCAGTATTGCAATCTAGCCATACTGGAACAACAGAATAGTCATCTTTATATCTTCTCAGTTTAAGTATGAAAGCAAGCTTGGCTTCCTTATATTTAAAAAGATTACATTCAGGAACTGGCTACATTTTGTGATTGAAGATCTTGGTCAAACATACTGCACAGCCCACATCTCCTTTCAGAAGGGCTGTTGATTCCTTCAGTGTATGCATATAACTCACATTAATAATGGGAGTTACATATGCACAAAGGGGTAGAGAAAACCTATGAAGTATGGAAACCATTTTAGTAGACCACTGACAAAAATTAATATACAGCAACAATTTCTTTTTTTTCCCCCCTCCGGCATGAGTCAAGCAGAAAGAAGCGTGTGCCATAAAACAGAAAATTTTCACTACTGGGAATGTGGATGTCTTAAAAAAAAAATTTTTTTTTTTTTTTTTTTAAGAAGTTGAATAATATTTTCTTATTTAGGGAAAAAACACTGCTTCATGGTTTCACTATAATGCAACCATCTTCCACTACTGCAGAAGAGGGAAGAAAACCAAGTACTTCCCTATGAACAGAAGTGTTACATCAGTCGTAAGGGCCTTAAAGACCATTTTGGATCATCTTTGATGTCCTGGTCTTCCAGCCTTCTCAGCATGTTCGAGTTATCACTCTGCTTCCTAAAGCCAGGTACACTGTCATCCAACTTTTACACTAGTAAAAATACCTCTAGCTCCAGTATAATTGAGGTATTCTGGGCAGTACGACTCACACCTTTTCCCATCATCATGGGCAGAGAGCCCCATCTTTCCTTTCCAAATTTACTTCCTTACTGAATTGGCACAGAAACAGTGCACAAACTTCCTTTGGCTTAAAGTTATATCGGAGTTGTTAATTTGCTGATTACACATTACTTGATCTTCATAACCATCTTGTTCAGCACTGCAGCTTAGACAATGCAGAACATGCTGCAAGTTACTTACTAAATTGAATTCTCACAACATGCTCTTCCTCTTACCTTCTGTTGCGAAGTATTCAAGGTGGCACAGCGTTTGCTCCATATACTGGGAATCTTTTGAAAGCCTCTCAAAAATTACATTATCCTATTAAAACCAAATTAATTACAACAGAGTAAGTCTATAAATAAAGTTTCCATTTGTGTATTTACAAGCTTAAGTGAAGTAAGCTGAGTGGACTTGTAAATAACCTTGGGCTCTGGTATTAGCAAGTAACACATTTGGGTTTTAAAGACTCTGGTTTAAGTAATCTGGGTTGTGCCCAGTGGCAGACATACTGCATCCACTTTAAATAACGGGGACAGAAGTACCCTCTGCCTTCCTCCCCTCTTCCCCATAAAAGGGACACCATTACTACGTCATAAAGGGCACTCCTTTCTGAATTACTAAGCAGATATATTGATTTTCAGAGAATATATGTCTTTAGTTTTATTCAGTATACATTGTAGTCACATGCAGAAAAGCTTCCTGTAATTCACCCTATAAAAGATTCCTACTGATGTTAAAAAGAACAATAGAAGGCAGAAATACCGATCAGGTTCTACCACGAGACTCTCTCAGAAACAACCTTCCTCATCACTACATGAGAGAACAATTGAAAAGGTCCATTTAACAGCTGCAATCAAAACACTGCACCATCACCTACGTATCTAAAGCCTCTGGATTTTATTCTGCAACTACCAGCTTAAGTTGCTACACACATAAAATACAGAAACACTGCTTTTACTCAAACGTGTACTCTTAAGCTAAGTAGACAGTTAACCTACATCTATCGCTGATAAGAGATAAGCATACAAAACAAGTAATTTATGATGGAAGCGACAGGACAGGAGATGATTATCAGAACATGGAAGAGTTCATGGAGAACAGGCAGTTAACTCACACTGTAGGTGAGTGTGGGATGCAGCAGAACATACAAGACAAAACACCAGATCGTAGGAATTATTGCAACCTTTTTCCTCTTAGACATCTGAGCCTGCTCAAGTGGAAGGTAACATAACATTTTTTTACTGCTAACTCCCATGTTCTCCACTACTTCCAGTGCCACACTCCTAGAAACAGTGTAAATTCAGGCAGGGTATGAGCAACCAGCAGTTGCAGATCTGTGTCATCCTACTAGACATACAACTTGGAAATACCACACAGTGACAGTGGGCTTAATTCACTCCCACCATACTAGCATGAAGCTGACATATCTTTATCAAATCAGGGAGTGAAAACAAACCAACAGAGCAGTGCATCCGGACTTATACATCAGGACAAATTCAAGTCAACCAGATGCTCAGAAGTCAGAAACAGTTTTTCCTGTTGCAAAAAGCCACCTCCATAGTTTCCCACTGAAATTAGAACCACTGTGGCTGTGGACAATGCTAGTTTTGCAGCCTTTGTGCTTTGGTGAGTTATTGCTCTTATTGGCAAAAACAGCAGCACAACATGGTGCAAGTCATGATGACAAATAACAGCAGACAGACACAACTGAGCCAGGCAAGAGCCAACCACTTGAGAACAAATTTTGATATTAGATTCAGACAAGAGCATTTAGTCTAGCTCCTGAACTGTTGCACAGCTGGGTGAAATCCTAAGTAAAGGGTACTGCTCCCATTAGTTTTGGGATTTCAACTGGGTAGTAGAAAGCCTAGCAACCTTCCTGCCTGTAAAAGGAGTCAGAGGAGGAATGACAAATCTCTTAATACCTGTTGACTTTCTGCTTAGGACCAAAGTGTTATATGTATGAGCCATGAAATGCCAGCAGCAGCCCCAGCTGTTGAAACAATAACTGGTAGTGTTAAGTTCTCCATTAGGTAGCATAATTACTTACAGCCCCTTTGCAGTAGAGACGTAGCTGTCCTGCTGGAGTTCGAACAATCACTGACATTCTCTTCCTGTTGCTATTGAAAGAAAAATATTTGCTTTCATTAGTTTTAGTGATGAAGATTAAGTCCTGCTCTAGCCAGTGAATTTTCTCAGATGTGATCAGTGCATTTGAGATCAAGTGAGATGTAGCAGTAGTAACTTAAGACCCCACAATCCTTAACAGCAAGGAGAAACACCAAATTGCTCATTTCCAGCTTCAGCCCTATGGCTCCCATCATCAAGCACTCAACTGAAACAGACTTGTACCCAAATATGAGCAAGGACATGGAGAAGAGCAAGATGGCACAAAAATCCTCTTGAAAGAAGGGGTGTCACATTTACTTTCAGCTTTTCCTTATTCATCAAGGAAAACTGTTTTGGGGACTCAGGATAGAAACTGAATCATTAAGGCTCAAAGCATATTTATTATAGGTGTAAGAGACATTGAAGTACCCATGCACTGACAAAGGTAGTTATTTAACTTCCTAGCTCAAAATAATCCAGAAATCTCAGAGGAATCACAGTATGGACCAGCTCTTGGCCTCCCTATAGGTTCTTCACATTGGTCCAATCAGAACTACACAGCTGGGGTTATGTGCAACAGTCAGACCCTCTGAACAGGGTTGCACATCAAGACAGTCAAGTTTGGGTTATGTTTTTAAAATAAAAGTAAATACTAGCATACTGTAAACACATGTTCAACAAAGGAAAGTAGGCAAGAATTTTGGAATTTTTAGATTATCCATTTTGGCATTTCACTTCTTAATCTCTCATTTAAAAGAGCCCTGGGAAAAAATGCAGCTTGTAAGAGGCAGAGGCAAGCAAATCACGACTCATCAAAAGAACTCTAAGAACATGTGGTTTCATATAATTCTTCTCCTTAGCAAAAGGAGAACTCAGAAGCATCCTCCTTCCTCGTTCCCTTTTTGCCAATATGTACAAACAGATCAGAGTGGAGAGCAATCTTCCTCCTCCGAAGTTGCTCAGGGAAATCTAGCCCCTTTTCAGGGCTCAAGAGCGATGTGTAAGAAAGGGAGCTCAGCCTGTATGATGAGAAAAAGCAATCCTTCCCAAGACTTTCTAAAGCAAGTCTGGAAGGACAGCAATTAGCTCTGCCCACAACTTCTGCAGCAGGCTAATGACACAGGAAAACTTCCATGTGCTTTTTGAAATCTAATTATAAGACTCTTCCACTGATCAAGTGGGAAGTTGCTACACATAGGGAAGAGCTAAGACAGATTTGTCTCTGATGCACACACGCTACAGTTACTGCTGTCTATAGACACCGGGGTACTGCTCAACTTGTCAGAATTCCTAACTGACTCTTCTAGCACCTTGTTAGATATTACCACAAGTAGTCTAGGTAGCTACATTCTGAATGAAAAGAGGAAGTAGTTAAGAGTAATTTTCAAAGCAAGCCAGGACAAAAAAAAAGCTGCCTGCCCAAATCTTCCCTGACTTGAGTTTTACATACTCCTTTAGAGCAGAACCAGCCAGCTCAAAGATGGCAGAGAAGACAACTTCAAGGGTTTAAGCTACAGTAAGATTGGAAAAAACAGCTGAAAAGCCTGCTGACTAGCACCATCCAAACTGACAAAAGTTTATGAACTGACAAAGAAAAATCACCTTTAATCATCTCCAGTGATTTAAAGATCCCAATTCATCACACAAAGCTTCTTGCTACCCAAGCAGTGCCAATCCTGACTAGCCTGACAAGTTGAGTGATTCCAAAGTTTAGTTTTTCATAGCTGGAGAGGTTCTTCAAAAGGGGCACCAAAAAGCCCTCCAGTTGTAAATTCTACCTACTCAAACCCAAGTAATTTACAGAAGCACTTAAGGGCAACCTCAATCTCAAAGCATGTTCTTGAAGTAGACAAGTGACACATCATTAAATCAATGAGGCACAGAATGACACTTCCAGGGCAGCACCTTCTCAATAAGCCAGAGCTGGAGTGGCAGGAGAGAGTTTCACACTTATACTCCAGAAGCCACCAATTTATAAGAACCTCTGTATTAGTCCCGTACTGGAAACGAGGAGATGGAGAAAGAGCACAACATGAATGAAGTTCAGCTTTTCTACTGCATCAACTGAATCTTCTTATTCTCGATAACATATTTGCAAAAACAGTTGTCTTGTTACCTTGCATTTGGTACATTAGAGCAAAACTTACCTTGAAAACTCCAACACGTTAAGAATTTCAAAGGTTTTTTCTTTTCCCAGCTACAAAAGAAAGCATTTACTGTAAGTATAATTTGCAGTATATTCTTACACATGTAAACACATAAACTGGTTAAACGCCTTTGTTTACACAGTTCAGTGTAAATAAAATGTGGTCATAGCACCCTCTCCTGGTAATAGTCATGTAGAGCCCTATTCAACAAAGGCATTCTAATCTTACTTGAACATCTAGCATCGTGACATCTTCCATTTACTATTTTTACACCATTTCAAGGAACTAATAACTTACTCCAGAAGGATAAGCATGCTCTGGGAGTTAAACCACACAGTTACTTCTTAACAGCTATCAACTAAGACATATTACAGACTGTGAGCATTATTTCAAGTTAATACATACATGTCATCCAGATTTGGTTATCTTTGATAATCTTCATCTGAACTGCCTTAATATTTCTTTTACTTGAGTTTACAGGCATTTTACGTTATATTTTTTTGTGGCAGAAAATGGTTAACTAAGAAGTAATTCCTGTATCACCAAGAACTATTTGCTGGGCTTGAGAATGAGCAACCTGAAAGAAAAGGATTTAGAAATGCCTTGTCTTTGCCATTCTTGTTGTGTGACAGATGGAAGGAGCAGTAGGAGTTACTGGAGTCTCAGAACTCCAGTGGTGTTTGTAACATATGGTTAAAAAAAGGGCTGTAGCAAAAGCTAATTGCAGTACAGAGTTATGTCCTGCAAGGCACAAATCAATTGAGCAACGTGCCTGAGACCAAAAGTCATTTCCACCCCACGTTACACATACTGCCACTGATGCAAGCAACGATGAGAGAGAGGAACCTCTGGGAGCGACAGCTTTTATTGTTGGCTATAGACTGACCACCCTCCCAGCTTGGTATGTACGGGGTGTGTAAAACTAGGTCAGGTGGGCCTGGGTCTTCCTGCAGGGGAGAGAAGAGCCCAGGTAGCTCTAGATGATACTGCTCATCTTAAGCTGTTCCCCTTAAACTAAGCTGCAATTTTCTGAGAAGTTGTAAGAAGTTTGTGATAAATCCTAGAAAGACACACATTTTAAGTGCTTAGCTTGGCAGTGTACCAAGAAACTTAAAAGTGAATGCATCTGAGAGGAAGAGCAAGAACACACCCATTATTCTTAATAAGCACTATATTAGTTGCACCTCTGTAAAAAGTAAAGCCACTTTAGCTTAGACTGCAACTTAGTAGGTATGGGGCACCATGAGTTTGACACTGCCCATGTCAATTCTAATCCATTAACTACACACCCCTGCGTACAGAGCTTGTTAAGCAGATGCACCTTCTACAGAAGGCCTTACTTAGACAAAATTCCATTTTACTACAAGAAATAAAATATTTAGAAGTACAGTAGCCATTCAACAGTCAGAAAATCTCCCAGAGACATGAATTTCCATGGACTGTGAGTATTCTCATCTGTGTTTCCCAAACAAGGGAAGTATTCTTCAGGCACAACTGCTATCATTTCCCCTATAGGCTTGCAACTTCCTATTGCCTATGCCACGCGGAAGGGCAAAGGACTTGGCATCTAAAAATAGATTAAGACAACTTCTCTCAGTCTGCAAAAGCCTTCTGCATGTAGCATCCTCAAGTCCCTGTAAAGGGGAACTCACAAGAACAGCACAGGAGGTATTTCAGCTCTGCGTGAATTTCGCAGTCGGTGCCAGGCACATCTACTACTTACCGCATCAATGATAACCGAATGTGGAGTCCGGCCTGTAAAGACATAACCAAGTTTTTTTGCTCCTTTCACTAATGCCCCTTCATCTGCCAACACAAAAAAAAAAAAAAAAACACACATCAATTTATTCCAGTCTGTAGAAGAGACCTGCAAAGCCCATATTTAAATATACCACACTGCCAAAATAGAAGCCCCTTTTCCCATGTACTCCCCCACCTGTAGGGCTGCTAGAGTAGCTCTGCACACACTTCCACATGCACATTTTAGTCCCACGAAGGCCATGCAGTATCAACTACACAAACTTCATACTCAATCTGTATAAAACATCCTGTAACAACTGAAGCATTGAACTCTCTTGTTGTGGAGGAGCCATACTTTTCTACATGAAAAAGGGGATATACTTGTTCTGAAAGCAGGATCAAACCTGTGTTACCCTAAATTCCCACAACATGCATTTATTAATTTTCCTGCTGTAAAGCCACTAAATTCAGGTGCTGTAGAAATACTGCATTGTCTTCTGGAGACTGAGCTGGGCAGTGTCGTTAAGACACTCAAATAACAGAGCTGAAATCAGAGCCAGCACCTCTACCTCTAGTAGGCAGTTATACAGGCTCGTTAAGTAGCAAGTAGCACTGAGCACAACCATCATATAGGTGGATTTAGTGCCCAGCTCAAGCAACCCTGGTGTCCCTAAAGCTCCCTTAGTCTCCTCATGGCTCATCAACACTAAACAGAGCTGCCTTACACAGGTTCTTCACCCTATTCTTCAGGCACTCTTAAGAAATAAGAAACAACGCTGCTTCATCATCACAATTCTAGAAACATGCTCAGTAACAGAGATCAATCTGATGGGGAGCAGGGCCCTGCTGTTCTACATTTTGGCCTTGCCTACCTCCTTCAATACCTCGGTGCTACCTGAAAGAAGGAAGAAACAGGTGAAGGGCAGACCCAAACATGGCCAAGACTCTGCTCTTGGTTGTATTGTCTCATGTATCAGCACAGAGCAAGATGGAAACCTACTGTATCAATAAACACAGTTCGCACTCATGCTAAATAGAGCAAGTAACTGCTCATGCAGAAACAAATCAGTGCTTCCACAGATCAGCTCCACACACTGAAAGTTTCACTTCTGCTTTTCACCCCTGAAGAAAGGCCAGAGTAAAAGGTCTCATGAGCACAAAAGGGATCATAAGCCCAGCCTATGTCTACAAAAACATTATGGATTTGGCAGTTTCATAGGAAGCATTCAAAAGCAGCACGCACTGACGACATAAGATGACATCTACTGCTAGCATCATGGGGGACATCCTGCTTTCAAAATCAATGACCTTTACAGAGGTTTCCAGACATTCCTTCCATCTACCTGTAAGCCTTTACTCCTTCCCTCCCAAAAAAGAAAGCAACGACCAACCTGGAGAGGAGGCTTGGTAGATAATTTTATTTCCTTGTCTCTCAGGAACAACAGTATGACACACAGCCAGAAGAGTGAGGAACTCCTGTATGTGCACAGCTGTGGGCTAGACAGGACATCAAGAGAGTCAGGTTTAGTATTACACACAGACTGAAAAGCAGCTGTTCACTAACCTGAGAAGACCTCTTAGGTACCACAGACAGAAAAAAATTATTCTGTTCTCTATTTATAGTAGTCTTGGTCCCCAAGCATCAATGCATCAGCATCTAGCATTAATGAACTAGAATGCTAACGAAGACCTCACTGAAGTTGCAGAGAGCTGGGAAGCCAGAATATTTCCTCCCCCGCAAAATATCAAAGCGCCAGTTTTGTTGTACCCCGAGCTCATACAGGCGAAAGCGTCTGCCACAAGATGCTGGTGATAATCAAGTAACAGGAAATACTTCCTTGGTAGCTTCCACAGCTTTCAACAGATTGACAGTAACCACACCAGAATTAAGCTCATCACAACTGCGCCCTTGGTGATGAACACCAAGAGCTGACAGCAGCTGATTAACCAGTAGAAGGCAACATCATGTGCTCTTACACAGGAATAGATCATCCAGCTAAGCAGAAATGTTGTCAACAGTCCCTACACATTCAGCATCATGAGAACACACAACAGAAAACACTGTTCCCAGACTGCATAGTCACCAGCCATCCCAAAGTGCTTACAGACACCACGTCTGCAGCTCAGCGAAGATGCCATGGCACTTAAATCACAGGCCTCTTCTGACCAGCCAGTTTTGGCCCCTGTAGCTGTAGTGACTTGAAATGGAGCCCCCCATCTCCTTCTTCCCTCCCACTCCTGCCTCTGGCATGGCATTTCCCATCTCCTAGCAGTCAGGAATGGTACTCAGCTGCCCAGCTCACAACCTGACCCAGTAACTTGATCTGCAGTCCATACAGACCTTTAAGGCACGTGGGTGAAACACCTGAAGTGAACACATGGGACCCTTCACCAACTCCACTGCATCCCTAACATCCACAGCTGGTAGCACCAATACCTTACGTCACAGTAACTGTTTGCTCAGTGACCAAATCCAACGTGAACTTAACAGTTCCACCTTGGTAGAATAACTTAGCAGACTTTGTGAACTCACAGAATTTTTGCATATGAAAATATCATCTAGTTTCCCAAGTTTTCGTTATCATAGCGTATTTTACATACATTATCTTAACAGAGCCACTACCAAATCAAGATCATTACAGGAGCTGTTAGCACAAGGTTGGGCCCAAACCCCTCTACTGTAGTATTAAAATCAAGATCAGATGGAGAAGAAACCTACAAGATGCTAGGAAAACAGGATCCAAGTTTTTTTAAACAGTTAATTAACAGATGATTCTGCATTATTTATTCTGCTAGTGTACACCAGAATGTTTCACAACAGAAAAAAGGCTACCACATTCAAATGAAACTTCCAAATGAAAAGTATGTACCACCAAATATTTTCTGATAGAAGACTTGTATGTGTTTTTCTAACAGTATATGCAGTACTACTATCTGAAACGCAGCACAGTTATTTTATAAAGCCCTTTTATCACAGAGAATTGAGACATTAGAGTCCTCCATTTCCCACTTAGAGGGTCACTTAAAATGCAGCTTCTCACAATTAGGTCAGCAGCATTCACAACTGGCTCTCAGGCATCTTAATGGTTTTCTCCCCAAACCAAGCAATATGACAAAAAAACTCAAAGTTTTATTCTATCGGGTCCTATTTCTGGGACAAGACGAAGAATAGGGAAGAGTTGTTGAGATCCTGCTTGTTTTTGCAGTATGGCACACACAGCCTACATACATGCACAACAGGAAGATGCACTGACAATAGCAAGGTTTAGTTAGTAGCAAGTAAATTACTATGAAAGCCACAAAATGTCATCTGGTAAATACTGTGTTAACATGTAAACAAGAAGTAAGCATATTGGAAAAAAGTGCAACAAAAAGACTCAAGATCCAACCCTCATTCTTGCTTTACTTGATGTACTTTGTCACCAATACTTGAAAAACTGTTTCACACAGGACCTTTATCTTTGCACACTGAAACTTCTGAATTGTATGGTCACATGCCACTAAAGTAACTACAGTTGTAGCTTTTGACATGCTGGAGTGCAGAGGCTGTGTTCCAGAAAATGAACAGATGGAATATAATCAGAGAGACTAGCGTGTGGTAAGTTGAGTCCACAGCAAATTACTGGTCAGGAGGTTAACACTGCTCCATTATTTCCAGTGAAAGCAATGAAAGTTTTATCTCTATCTCAAAATGCACAGCCTGCCAGATTCTCATTTCAGCACCCGCTGCCGCAGACCTTTGATGTCCTTCCCACCCTTCTATCACCTAGCCCCTTACATGTTTTCACAGTCCGTGTTCTATCAGCTGGAAACAACCTGTCTCTGGTAATGTCATAGATTTTAATCCTTCTTATGTATATACTTCTGCTTTCAACAAATTACACTGCTGGCTTAGCATTTTCACAGCTCGCAATGTATTACATGGTGATCTTCCAATTCTATAGCAAGAGATCACCAGAGGCCCAGCTTATCACATCAGCTCCTCCACACAGCTGTCATTTGTTTCCTTTTTATATTGTTCCAGCACTGACACAGCATTTGTTGCACTGGCATAAATCAGGATAGAGCACTCAAATTCCTACTTCAGAGCTGCGAACAGAGAATCCATTAATAGCTGCTGTGGTAACACATCCCTTGTACCATGCCAGGTTTAACCCCAGCATAAGACAGAAGTCTCACAGGTTAACTGATTCTCCCTTATTACTTAGTTTCTTCTATTAAAGCAAGTCTGCCATTTTAGTACTGCAATTCTTACTGATGGTCTCAAAGACATTCCTTGTCTGTCCATTTGCTAAGCTCAGCTCTATTTCTTCCCACCCCAATTTTTCCTTCTCCATTTATCTATAGCAGGAATAAATTATGCATATTTTAGTCTCTTGTTTATCTGTCCACAGGTAGCTCTCATTTCAAGTGCCTTCTCCCCCCATTTTTTTCTCCCTGTGTGTTAACAGTTCTGTGAAAGCTATTGCTTCTCTTCCTCTACATCTTCTCCAAAGATCCATGAAACACTTGGTGTACAACCATCTACACCAGCAATACGACCCACTGGCTATACTTACAAGCCAAGAACTACATACACATTGAGACAGCCTCATATTTATTTCTGGAAGCAGTTTCTCGATTATCTACACTGAAAGCAAAGTTTTCCTATCTAGGAGGCACAGCACTGTCCATTACGAAGCAGGGTATAGAACACTGGTCAGGAAACTGTATCACGAGTTTTCATCCTTTCATGTGCTCCCTTATTCAGAGGGAACAAAACACTGAGTCGGAACTCTTTTTTGGAGAGTGAGCTGCGCTCTGCAGAGCTACATGTCTGCACATTTGTCACACGTGTCCTTATCTGGGCCTCCTCACCCTGAAGACAGAAACTGCATTTATCTAGCCAACTGTTCATAGCCTGTTAAAATTACAAAGGAAGCTGCATATAAAGTTTATTATTAATCTCTCCTCCTACTTGTAGGAGCATCAGATCAGTCCCTCCATTCACAATATTTCCAGATGAGCAGGACTGACAGGTTTTTGAACAAATGGCCTAGAAATAGCCAGCGGGATAAAGGCATAGTCTAACAACCTGAGCTTACTAGTTTGCATAAATGTGGCACATTCTGCCAAGGACAGCTAGTAAAACACTTACCTAGTTCATTACCGGGGAGAATTGACTCATCTTAAAAACATGTGAACTTCCTACTGTCTCGTTCATTAAAAATCCTGAGGAACAGTGTGAGGATCTAGCCACGTTGGGCATCTCTAGAACAGTGAAGCTAGCACGGCTGGAGGGGATGAGGGTATTTCAGGCACAGACACAAAGCAAATATTAAACAGCATTTGAGTATCAGAGTTAAAAGCAAGTTTAACTTGTCCAAAGCCACTAAAATATGACTTAAAGACACTACCTTGTCCTCGAGCAGAAGAGAAGCACCAAAGTCCTATGTACAATAAGGGCAAAAGCAGAAAATAGGTATTTCTCAAACTGTAACCATTTGTCAGCTGTAAAATGGTATGTTTTGACAGTTTTCAGGCAACAGTTACTTTCTGAACTAAAGCCCCTCAGAGGTTCTCACCACCTGAATGTATTTTCCCCTACTATACTTGAAATTTCAGTTTTTCTTTCCAGCAGTGATATGCTTTTTTTGTTCTGCTTTCTGAAGGAATTAAGAATCAGCTGATGGTAGTAGTCATTTCAAAGCCGGATGGGATAAGAGGCTCAGTTCCCACACACTTTATGAAAATAAGCAGACATGTTGGAGATATAAATGAACATTTTTGCTAAGGTAAAGGCTCAACATGAGCACAACAGTTATCTGTTCTGCCTGGCCAGCTGCTTAACTAGTCATCACACATACTCACTGAATCAGCTCATACATCTGTAGCCATACAACATTCTTGCTGCTTCTTGCCCAACTGGTAACTTGTGGGCCACAGAGAGTCTATATGCAGATTGGACTTAGTAGAGGAAGTTTGGAAAGAATCCAAGGAGACAGAAGTCTAGGATGAGATCCAAGTTTATTAGTTCCTTCACTTCTTGACCTCCATCTCTGCACTCATAACAGGATAAAAAATAACCCCACAAACAGGCTTGCATCTCCATGATGAGTACATTCACAGTGTATGTGCAACTTGGAAGCACTGAGACAAAGACCTTCTAGCATATTCACCAAATTTACTTCTAAATTTTTACAATAAGAAAAGGTAAGTTATTTCCAAGAGGAGTTTACACCATTTTCCCTATAGAAACAAGCCAGCATCATACTCTTGGCACTGCTACACAGTTCATCCAACAGAAGCTGTTACAAAGAAAAAGCATAGGCAGACAAATCTAGGCACTTTCTTCCACATTAATATCACAGAGGAGCCAAGAGAAACCTCCACATGTTTTCAAGACAAGTTATTTTTCCTTGGAACACTTCCTGTGGGATAATAATTCTTTCACTGTTATTCAAGAGTGAACTTGGCCATCAGTCAGTCCATACACACCAATGGCCCAGAAGAGCTATGAAATTTAGAGGCAATGCAGGATGCTAAAAATCTTCCTAGCAGATGGAAAACAGTCTCATGAGGACAAGTACATTATTTTTTATTTTCAACCTGGAAAGAATATTACTTGGCACTGAGACAGCTCTGAACTAACACTTGTGAATTGATTGAAAAAAAAAAAAAAAAATCAAGACCAGAGGAATAAGCACTTATTGAGTGTTGGTTAGGGATAGCACGCTGACAACTTCAGCTGCAAAAGGGCAAATGTTGCAAATGAATTCATTGCCCAGCTGAGTACAGCACCATCTGACCCCACAATGCAGCTTGTGCTAGAACACTTCAGTTTTATCACCTCAGTTCACTAAATGACTAGAGATTGTCAGACATCTGTAAATTGCATTTGCAGTTATCTACTAGCTATGAAAACGAAGACACTAAGGAGTTTTAGGTAGAAGGAAGCGGTTCATGCACCTTAACAGGTGACCTAACGCAAAAACCTAATGGGCTAGAAACATGTGATTCTTCCCTCTCTCACTACCCTGGAATCCTCCTTCCCTCTCACATCACCCTGGAATCCAGTCCTCGTCTCACTGATGCCATTTGACAAGTGGATCTGAACTTCCTAAGCAAACTGCCACATGTAGTCCTCGCATGCCTGTGCCTTGGCTACATCAGCACTTGTCAGCGGGTGGCACCCATCCCTCCAGTACAATCAGGCTCCAAAAGATATCTTTGGCCTACATGAGGTACATTGAGTCTTATAACCCAGAACTTTCCCCACTGATTGTCTAAAGGAGGAGTTCACACAGTGTGCTCAGCCCAATAGTCAGTTGTGCCATGACAACAGTATTTATCTGTTCATGTTGCCAGGCAAAAGGAAACTTGATACGTATGGGTTCAGCATGTCAAGAACAAAGACTTCTGAGCTGTCTAGACTAAGTGACATTTAGTGAAACTATCAAAATATTTTATTTGCCTGCTACAACAGCAAATATTCCTCCTATCTCCCAAGCAGAAGCTCTACCCAGAGAGGATCAAAGAATTAGAGATATCCCAAAGTTAAGGGAGCAATTCAAGGCTACATGAGAAACTCCATCTCACAGCCCATTTGATATATGTCCCTTCTAAGCCTAAGTCTATTAGAATATACCAAAGCACTTTACTGTATAAATGCCTAAAACAATGGCCAGTGAGGAAGAGCCAAAACACACCTCCTAAGTAGCCTGCACCTAAACCAGTAGCCTTCCAATCATAATGGGGTACCTGGAGTCAGCAGCTGTCATAAGCCACAGTTGCAGCCATAGGTAAACAAACAACACAAAGGAACAGGAAGCAACCCAAATCTTGGCTGCAAGTGACATGCAGTAGGAAGCCCTTCCAATGCAGATGATTATAAAAGCCACACAGGAAAGGAGTGCATTGTCCTGGCAGGGACACCATCCTGAAGGTTAGAGCACAGGAGCCATCTTCAGGTTCTATCCCTCTGAGGAATATGTAGTGACATATAAAGTAATTAAATATTCCCTCAGGCATTTACACCACGCTGCATTTCAACTTCAGTAGTGTAAAGCAAAACAGAAAGCAAAGCTTTGCCACACACAAACAGCATGTTGTAACTGTATTTTAGATGTTCTTACTAAACCAGCCCAATTACAATCATTATACCGCCTGAGAACAATCACCTAATTGAGTTGGACATCTGAGTTGGTGCTTGCCAATGCCAAGATCTCCTACTGCAAGACAGCTTCTGCTGAACAGAAGGGTCATGTTTTTCTCAAGTGCCTTAAACTGCCTGGTGTCCAGTCAGACACTTCATTGCTGCACGGTTTCTGAATAAGCAATTAACTGACACTCTCCTAAGGACCAGGACCCTTTAGAACACAACTAGTTAGGCCAAGATGCCTGATCACTAAGCCTCGGGCTAAGCTTGCTTGCAATTAAGTCCCATTTCTTACACCCTTTACAAAATTGGAATTCCCAACATCTGCAGTGTTTAAAACAGGTCTCACTAGAACCACCTTGTAATGCTCTGGATTACTGTTAAAAATGGTATTTTCACAGTATGGATGTTGGAATACTCCAAGTAGTTTTATTTTTTAAAGATCTACAGTTTCTACCATCGTTTACTACAACGATGCTGTCTTTCACACACAGCAACATATATGAAGCTGTTTTATAGCTAGCTGGTATCCATATCGATGTTGTTTCTCTAATTCAGTAGCAAGACAAGTGGACAGAAAGGGGTTGGGAGCCCTATTTTATTTTCTTTTTCCCCCACTCTGCTTGTGTAATACACCCACAGAGAAGACTTGATCACACAAGTGAATTTGTTTAGCACTCAATTCCAGAGAAGCCTAGAATAGGGTGTTTAAGAGATATGAAATTCGAAGTGCAGACTTACATGGTCATTTTCTATGTTTTGCAGCAGTCTTGGGTCATCAAATTCACATGATTCACTGGTGGAAGGAGGTAGCTGGCTGCAGAGCAAGACAAACACATTCAAACATAACAGTGGCAACATTTCCAAACTTACTACTGGAACTATTTTGGGGGGAAACAAAGGGAAAAACAAAAGTAAGATTCCACTGTTCTGGACAGTATTGTGAAAAGATCGTACAAATAATGCACAAAACACTAAAAATGAGCAATAATTTCTTCAGAACACCAGCAAGAAATGCAAAATGGCTATTCTTAAAATTGTATTTGAGAAGATTCAATTGTCATCACACTTTCTGGGTCAGATGTAGCAGAAGCAGCTTTTAACTGTACTACAAATACAATGATTTCAAGGTGATTTCTTGTTAAGATAACTTGCTTTTAAGATAGGTCAAATATCACTATCCCTAAGCTCCCTCTCTAGGTCAGCGAGTTCTGCTTCAAGTCGATCTCTGGAGGATTTTAAAGCTTGAGTACTCCAAATTAGTACTTGGAAGAAACTATTCCACATAACTGACTAGAAAAGAAGCCTACAAGGAGAGAAAAGATAACAACAAAGGAAACAGCAGCTTACTGGAAGAAAAAGAGGCATCCATAGAAATTATCTCAGCCTAAGTAGCAACATACAATCATATCCTATCACCTTCCAAAAAGGTGATCATAAAAATGAGACTGACCAGCGGAGAAGCCTAACTTAGTTCAAAGTGGGTAACAGCATTCAGTGTCCACCTGCTTCCTGGGTGGGAACTCAGGTACGTTTGTCAAAGCCACATCAGCCCTCTCTGGCTCTTCCCCCCTTCCTGTTCATGTGAAGATGCTACCATGACACTTGTGTAACCCTTAAAGGTTTTCGCTCCTTTCTGTAGAAGGGACAGACCCATCACCTCTATTCATGAAATCTCTGCATAGAGGAATGATTCTCTTAACATGAGACACCTCTTTCCAGGTTTAGTTATTAAAACATAGCATTTTAGTAAAGAAATTCCTTTCTTCTCCTTGTCAGGTTTGAATTTAGCTATTGCAAAGAATAACGTTCTGTCTCTAGGTGGAGGTAAGGGTTACTGTAAAGAAGGTTACTCAGCTTGTAACTTGACTGACTGCAATTATAAATAAAGACTACATTAGCACACATCCAAGCCACCCCAGCCACTGCCTATCCCTCACCATCTCTCTCTGTGTAAGAGAAGATCCATCACCACCCACCAGCTCTGCATCAGGCTCCTGCTGGAAAAAGCATTTCACTCAAACACGTTGCTCCCTTGGGCTTCTTCCAGTCCCAAATTGGAAAGCAGTCTTTATATAAATTGTCCCCACTCTGCTATACAGAACACAAACATCTTAGAATATAATATATTCACCTGAAGTCTTCTGATGAGCGCTCTCTTTCCAGCTCAGGAAAGTGACTGAAGGATAAAAAAACAAAAACAAAATATTTATTCTACTTAGCAAACCAAAAAAGTAGATGGAAGGCAAAAATCAGTGAGTCAGAGACACATATGCAGGAGCCGTGGGTTCAGCTGTCCATACATTCGAACCAAGTTTTCTGCCTTTTGTTATATCTAATCTAGCTATCGTGAAATTCAAAGGTTAACTTGCAGAGATCTTAAGACCACCCATTTAAAACTAAACTAAGACAAAGATTAAGTATTCAAGACTCAAACGGCCAAGTGCTATGAAATACTGGCATGACTCAAAGGAATCCTTTTGACAGAAACAGAATAAAAACACTAAGTGGGTATTCCTGCAGTGCAAGGAATTTTTAACTCTACAACTACAATTACAGCTAGATGATTGTAATGAAATCCTGGTTCATCTGAAGAAGTCACAGAAACGTCACTAAAAATTGCTGCCCTTGGGCTGCATCTCCTACCCTCCGGAAACGCCAGAGATTTTTTAGCACTTCCTAAATCATAATCAGATAAAAATTAGGAAGCAAGTTTTCTTTACAGATTAGCATTCCATAGTTTGTGTTGCAGGACATGAAAATGAAAGCTATTAACTAAGGCCACAAAACATACTAAAAGACAAGTTGAAGAACAGAATATTCTAATCCTGATATAGAAGTATACAGCATTAATCAGCACATATTAAGCTACAGAGTTTTTAAAAAAGTTCTACCTACCCATATGTCACTCCAGCAATACTACATTTCTTGAAGTTCATGATATTGCATGTTAGAGTACCTGTTTTATCAGAAAACAGGTATTTTACCTGGAAGGAAAAAAACTTGCAATGTAAAAAGCTATTTTCCACCTCAAGTTTTTCAGTAACAAGAAAATACTGGGAGACATATGGCTCAAATGTCACACTGTTAGCCCATGCAGGCTTATTACAGTTCGGTTTAGTTTTACCAAAGCTACAGGAAAATAATCAGGAAAGTTAGTTCATGGCATTATTTCTCCTTTAATCACTAAATGCAGAAAGGCTCAAAGAATGAGTATCAATTGCCAAGGCCCCCCCCAGTGTGGTCAATACAGATGTACTTGCTTGTGCTAGCTGAACATGCCCCAAATCTTTCACCTGTACTAATGTCAAACAGCATGACAGGCAATTGACTCATAAGACTGTTGAAGAATCATTAGAATTTAATACAATGAAGAAATTCTGTGTCCCAAAGATTACCAGAAATTTGTTTGGGATTTTTCCCCATAAACAGTACTGTGCAAGAAATATCCTAAAGTAAGTCCAAGTGGTGTTCTGCAGGCAAATATAAGCTGCTTTTTCTGGTATCCAGTCATGAGCAGTTCCAAAGTGTAAGATACATAGCCACAGTGAGCACTATCCAAGCTAATAATCCATTAACGGAACAGTGACTTCCAGCTAGAATTTGGAGATGACTCCAACATAGCAACACAGCTTCTGGAAGCATTAGCAGACTCAAGTTTCCCGCTTTCAGTAAGCCACAACTAACCAAAATTAATTGAAAGCTAAATTCCACACTGGTTCACTTCTGTACCAGGTGAGGTTTTAAACCAGCAACAGGTAGGCAGAAGACAGTGCTAACATAGGAGTTAGCCAATTCAAAAAACAGAATATTTTGCCTATAGTTGCAAACTGCTTTCCTCTATTTGCAATTCATGTCAGGACCGTGCACTAAACTACCAGTTAAGTGATCCTTTACTGTGCACTACACTGTTTTGGAAGACAGCATTGGAAACGGAACCTGTGCAAGTTTCAAGTTGAAGTTGGTATGCAAGCACCCGAGGGACTTCAAATCATTAATAACTCTAACATGTAAGTTCTAAAATGCACCTGTGAACAAGTAATTCAACTAATGAAACCGAAAGCTCTGTCTAGTTACCTGGAAACACTCATAAGCCATTTCTGAAAACAACATACGGGTCAAAAACATACATTACGTCACCTAACAGTTTACTTTGGACAACAACACTGCTATAAATTTGGAGATTGATAACTTCACATCAAAGCAATATTAATACAAACAAAATTTTAACAATCCTAAGGAAAAGGCCAGTTGGATTAAGCAGGAAAATACTGACTTCCTCATGAATTGTGTTTTACATACATAAACATTGTTTCGAACGCTAAAGTCACACAAATTATGAAGTTCGTTTGGTCAAGCAGCAAGAACACAGGTTGAGGCTGTTGGCTTGTTCTCCAGCCAAGCTTAGTCTTTTACATTCTGTTCCAGTACAGTCATAACCACAGAGCATCTCTCCGATCCCCTTGAGTAGAAAAGTGACTTTAGAATTAACGTAAGAAATAAAGATTCAATTGCTGTGCTTAAAACTACCTACATGACCTCAAATTTAATCCTGTGATCTCTCATTGTTTCACTTGTAAGACTTGAACTAATGAAAGTAAAGATGTCCTATTAACCTGAGCCACAGAACAACAGAATAAAGCAGATTTGTACAACATGCTCTCAAACCTGTCTTCCCAGAACACCTCACAAATGTGACATTTAAGAACATGTTGTCTTACCTGCCCAAGTTCCTCATTCAGGTTTGAGGTTCTGGCCATTGCAGGTGTATCTGTTTCAGGGTAATACATATCTATGTCCTGAAATGAGAACAAAGTTAGACCTGTGCTATGCAAATTAAACACTGAAGCCTCCAGTCTTCTTTTAGTCACTTTCAACTCTGCTTTGTTGACTGAACTCCATTGGTGGAGGTTCTGAAGGCTTGAGGGACAAATACCAGGCTGAATGGACACTCCTCCTTTCCAAAGTACACCTCCATAGTACATGTCCATGAGAAGCCAGATTCACCTAACCATAACCAGTTTTCTTCATTGCATCTCTAGTTTAATGATTTAGTACAGTAGGAAGAAGTTCTAACTGGCTGATCGTAGCTCTTCAGTTACAATGATTAAATTTACTCTAGCCATATCCGTGACTGAAGAGACAATTTAAGTGACTCTCTACTATATTTAATTGGGAGAGTAAACAAAGAAGCTGCTACATGAACCAAAGCAATTTCTCCAATAAGCTAGTTAAGCATCTCCAATACATTATAAGCAGCTCAGAAAACAGACACATTAGACATTATTTACTTGTATTTTAGAGGAACAACTACAACTTTACTTTAAGTCCAAGGATTAATGCATACCAAGACAAAGTATTTCTCTTGGTTTTGTTCAGCTTAAGAGACATCACTACAGTATTTTTGGTCCACAACTGAAGAAAACACACTTTCAAGTCAAAGCTTGCCTGAACAGAGGGATCACTTCTGTTATGTGCAGCACCAACTTTTCTTACAGAAATACTATGATTAGTATCAAAAGTGACCTTAAGGCCAACCTCAGGATTTAAAAAGAACACCACCAAAAAAAGGAACAAAAACATGCCCCCAACCCATCTAGTCTTTCCCTCTGCTGTGGCTGAGAGAAGCTAAGGTACATGAGTTTTCAGAAGTTATTTACTGAGTATGAGTAAGCTAAGAGAACACCTTCAACCAAAAGAGCTGAGCCTCTTTCTCATCCTGAAAGCCTAAAATATACAAGAGTGATCATGTACACAGGCGATCTTCCTGAAACTAAATCTTTTATTTTCCTGTGGAACACAGAACTAACACAGAATAAATTCTCTGAACTTCTCCCTGCTTTTCCCAGAAACTGCATCAGAAAAGTCACCAGAAAATCTGGTACAGATTCCAGGGTGGGTTTGTTGGGTTTTTTTAATGTCACTTTCCAAAACTGATATTAACACATTTATTCTTGTTTCTTACCCAATTTATAAAAAGAGCCTGAGTAAACTTGACAACTTCCAACGTCACCAGAAGACTGATTGGAATAAGGTTGTTGTACAAGATTATAAATGTCAGCAGATTGTATCCAAAGTTGACAGACAGCATTTCTGTGGACAGAAAAACGTAAGACATGAGCAGACAGAAGGCAGAAGACTGAGTGGTACAGTACAGGGGCAATCATCTTTCTGCAGTTGACCTAATCAGATTCAGCAGTGCTAAAATAATCAGCCAAGTGTGTTGAGGCCTAGTATAAGGGCCTTTTTAATATTGATTTTAATAGTACATATATAGAACACCCACAGAACACATGCCTGGATAAACAGCATATTATGCCAGGTGAAGAAGGACAAGATTGGTGAGGCTATATATTAAGAGAACAGAACACTTCTGAACAGTTTTTGCTAAACAGATGGTAAGAAGCATGATACTCTACATTATAACCCAAATTTAGAGATTTATCTGATCTGTCAACTGCCCCAACTAAGAGACACCAATATCACTAGTAACATAACTTTACCTTTCAGTAAGTGCCTACTCGTCTCAGTGGAGTTAGAAAACAAAAAATAAAGACTAAAATTCATTCGAAAATCTGCCAGTATTGGCAGAATTGAGAAGTTACTCACACTCACAAAATCTAAGACAAGTTGACTGTTAAGCAGACACCTAGTAATGAACTAAGGCATCCTGCTTAAGCAGAAGAGCTGTTATTAATGGTGACAACGTCAGGCAAGTTGCCCAAACAAATCTGCCAGCACAACTGGTCCTAAAGGGAAGGGGAAGGATTTATAGACAGCAGGCAGGAATGGACAAGGCTCAGCAGAGGCACAGGATGAAGGCTCCTGTTCACCATGCCGCCCACAGTCTCTCTTTACATTCCAAGTTTCTGCATTTGCCTGTCCTTCGCTTCCCTTGAAGGTTAGGGAGACACTCCAGTCAGCATGCAGAGCACCCAGCACAGTGGGGTCACAGCCCAGAACCGAGGAGTTTTCAGCATTACAAATAAGTCAGTAAGAAGGCAAGGGATCAAACTATGAGGAGACAGGCTTCAGCAGCTTTCTCTGGCTTCTAATGAAGATCAAGGTAAGACTTGAAGTTTGGACCCAGGCACCTCAAAGTGTGAACACACATAATTTCTGTATCTTCTATAAATTTACAGAAATAATGGAAGCGTGCTTGATACTGGAAAAAAATATTCCAATACAATCTTTATAGATATTAAACATTTACACCAAAATTTAACATCTACCTGCCAAGCCTAAACTGCCTTTCCTATTTGTGGCAGTTAGGTGACAGAAATTGTGTGTTCAAATTACAAAAAAGCATCTCTATAGACTACGTCATCCTAGTTTATTACAGGTTGCACCCGTTTTATATTAGCACAAGTTCACAAGTTTGTTCCACTCACCTTTTCCAGTATGACTTCCACCATTGGAAGGCACAAATTAAAACCCTCCCATTAAAAAGTAAGGGGGAGAGTATGGAAGAAACTTTGGAAGTTGCTGATGCTGCTACTAGAAGACATTGCAACGACCAAAAACCAGAGTCAAATATGAGGTACTCCCATGATCTTCCTGCATGATTTTTTTTTTCATTGTTATCACAATTGCAGTTCTTAAACTGCACAAGACACCCTTTGCCATCTGTTTTGCAATCACCAGCAGAAAGACCATTTGCAGTTTGTGAGAATTGTTTTCAGATCTACATCTCAAGATGTTTCTAACAACACATTTTATAGCTAGCTAATGTAACCGCCCTCAGGTCAGAAGTCTAACGGAGAGCAATTTATTTCATCATTAAGTGTTCCCATAAGGCCCATCTTTGATATCCAGACTAAAATTCAAGGAGTGCAAATTAAATCAAATAAAACCCTTTAATAAGGACAGTAAGAGACCAGTTCTCATTACAAAATAACAGAAGTCATAAACCAAAGAGACTGAAACACTATCCATTGAATACAAAATCCTAACATTTAGCATTTAACAGTTTTCTCTAAAACAAGAGCAGATCAGCATTTCTGACTGAAAAAACTAGAGAAATCCTCTGCTTCTGTACATAAGCATGAAGTTGGAGTCAGTATCAAATTGATACCTGCTACCCTGCAGTTGGGTACAGACATGATACGTAAGGCAGCAGTAGATGACTTACTCTGGAAACAAATTTGTTCATGGCATCTCCAGAGCTGAAAACACCAAATAGCCAAGAAAAACTCTTGCCTCTACACCTGTTTCTGACCTGCTCCCTTGGTGGTAGCCCAGGGATATTTATCTACCCTTTAAAAGGTTTTAACAGAAGCCTCACTGGCAAGTTCAACTTATGCTAGCCCATTCTCAAAAAAACCCCCAAACACTGGCCCATTAAAAAGTCAACACCAGGCCTTGTCTGTGGTGTTTCTTGTTTTATTCATTCACTTAGCAAAGCAAAGAGCCTGGCCAGCCCTATGGTCTGATAAATCCCTAGCACACTGCCCGCATACTCACTGTTGGAGCCAAGGTACCAGACGACTTCACCGTGTGTTCTGTTCCATAATAAGGCACCTACAGAACTCACAAGGGCCATAACCAGAAGAATACAGAACAAAACCAGGATCTGCATATTAGTTACTTTCTCCACATTTGATCTCTTCAGAGGTGCTTTGGTTGAATTCTGATCAGACACAATAAAAAAAAAAAAAAAAAAAAATCAGCAATGGCTTACACAAGAGGAAATTGCAGAGGCAACTCAGTCTATTTTTAGAGTCCATTATAGAACTTGCTACCTTAACTCCATTTAGCTCAATGCAGTACGCAAAGCTCAACAAGGCAGTAATAGGAGCTAATACTCCTAATGACTCCAGAGCCCACAGATCAGAGGAATACAACCACTCAGTTCTAAAGACCTAGTAGGCTCATTTCCTGGCTGTGCATCCCACTTGATGGTCAGCAGAGGTAACACATGTTGCTGGTCTCTCCAGGCACTCCTTGCCACTAAGGCAGTACAGATACTATAGTCTTAACCTAATTATCTCCAAGTACTAAAATTGTAGGTGGCCATTACCATCTCTTCAGCTGTTAAACTTTAATTTTAAATGTTGTCCAGCTACCAGATAAAGATAAAATACGGTTAGTTTTGCTTTGATACGGAAGTATTTTGAGACCAAAACCTTAGGAAGAGGTTGCACGTGCACATATGTAAACAGAAGTACAACAGTATGCTTGTATTCCTCAAAGCCTCCAGGTCTTTAAGAGCTACAGTGAGTCAAACTTCATAAACAAGTCCAAAAGACAGCAGAATACCAGTTTCTATCAGAACATGCTCTAGATCTCCTTAAAAACTTTACCTGCATGAGTTTTGTATCATGTCCTGTATACACAACAATACCCAAGACCCACTGGGTGTTTCTCAGTTGTGCACCTCTCAGCAAGATCTGGTCTGGACCAACAGGAACTGGGCTGCAAAGCAAGAAATACGTATGTCTTTCAGTTCTTGACAACGCTTTAGGAAAGTAATTCTCCTTTCAGCCTTACTCCTCCCTCAAAAAACCCAAACCACAAAAACAGGAAAGTAATATAATGAACTTACATTGTCCATACAACTCAAGAGAGTACCGAAACCTGTGTAAGTCTAACCCTCACTAAACCACAGTAGGGCAAAGGTGATATAAGGGAGCTGTTCTAGTTACCCAAAAATTGAGAACTTGTGGCAGCCATAAGCCTACTCTGCACTTCGCCTTGGCTAACATGTTTTCTCTCACATCAAGGACAGAGAAGCACCACACTTGCAAAGACACCATCCATTCCAAGCATACTACAACCCCACATATGCCACTAAACGAGCGTTTTGGGAAAAGTGCATTACCCGTGTGATTTTCAAGAGAGATGCAAGCAATTGTCTTTTCTTGCATCTGCCACTTTTCAGCTGAGATGCCCAAGGAATATACTTTTCATGCAGGTAAAGCCAGATGAAACCTGTATGTTCCTACTGACTTGAAGTCCTATGAATTCAGGTACTAAAACTGAAGTTCTCTTCTTCTGACAGTTGCAACAGATCAAAGCCACACTGATAAGGACTCTAGATTCTGGGATCATTTTTCTCTATAGATCTCAATTTGGTGCAGCTTTTGGCTCTAGTTGGAAGGGAAAGGTTTCCCAGTTTCCTCTTAACTCCTGTAACAAGAAGGCCCTAAAAACTCCTAAGCATTTCACCCACTCTTCCTTCTCTTCTTGTGTTACTTTTGACAAAAAACTACTATGCTTCCAAAGAAACCAACTCTCCCATAACAAGTAAGCTTCAACAGCAAGAGAGAACTATGTTATTCTATACTGGCAGATGCTCTGATTAACAACTGTCAATTATTACCCTCCTCTTCCCCAGAAAAAACATGCACATACTCCGTGTTGCAGACTAAAAGCACACAGGAATCTTTTTTGCTAACTAAATTTATGGCTTTGTCATCAAGTCAATACCTTTGACCATCTAAGCGCAAGTTTCCAGTGAAGTCATAAAGATGACGGTTGGGTCCTTCACATTCTATCCTTCCAGATACTTTCATCAATTCTTCTCTTGACTGAAGACTAGCCGTTTGAGACAAACCCTGCAGAGATCAGCCAAAAGGAAATGTTTGTCAAAAACTGTTATCAGAAGGCAACCTAGGAAAATAGCACTTTCTTCCAACATCTATGATAGCAAATGTAATTAAATGTACAGAGGTTTTTGTCAGGTTTCTTGGTGGGGTTTTTTTAATTTGTTTGGGGATTTTGAGGTTTCGTGGTTTGGTTTTGTTTGTTTAATGGGTATTCAATAACTCTTTCCTGCAAGAAAGATTCATTATGGACACATATGATCCTGCTTATATTGGTTTAAATTCTTCTGCATAAGAAAAGTATTACCTACATGATCTCTCTGTAATCAAGAAGAAAGTCCCATCCACAAAGCACGAAGTAACACATGTGCAGGAGGAAGTAAGAGACAAGCAGTATCAACAGGCCTGGCTTTTCTCTCAGGGCACTGCTCCACTGATATGCTACTGCTACATATAGCCACTCCGAAGCATGGCCTCTCTTGGGTCACTACAGTCATTATGCTCTGATCCTACTCAGGGTTAATTATCAACCCACCATGCAGCTGTAACCTAACGTATTGCTACTCCACCTCAGAGTGCACATACAACATTCCATTGCTCTTCATGTGTCTATGAACACCTCCACTCTTAACCAAGTGATCCATTGAGTGTTCCTTTTAACAGATTTTGACTGCAGCACTGCAAGCCAGAACAAGGCCTTAAGAGGCCCCACAACCTTATTTTTATATTTTAAGCATGTGTCCTGAGGCAAATAAAATATCTGACAGGAATTCAAGATCTGATCCAAAACATTAAGTGACATTTCTATAAAGACAGTAAACAAGCAGCAAGTGAACAGCTTCCTAAAAAACAAAATATTCTGCATTTCAGAATCCTAATCCAAATTCATTTTTTTCTAGTCAAATAAACCAAAGATTCTGAACTATTTCTAAATACGATCAACAATTTCTTCAACAAAAGTAGAAAAATCCAAAACCATTCTACTACTAACCACAATGAGAGAACAAAATCAACTTAAACATATAAAAGGTTCTTTTGAGCACTCTGCAGAAGCAGATAGGCACTTGTGACTGCAGAAACTGCAGCTCATTACAAGCACAGCCAATTTTTTTCTTTTTTTTTTTTTTTTTTTTTTTAATACAGCACTTCAATTACACTTATTGGACCTTGAGCACAACACAGACATCTGCTTGGTTTGCCTTTGTGGGCTTACAATACTTCCTCCAGATTACTTCCTTACACTTGCACGTGAAGCATTATTGCTTGGGTTTGTATCTCTTGAAAAGGTGGTTTACAGCCACCTGGAAAGAGATATGCTTTTTAAAAAAGAAAAAAGTACTTGTGTTGTTGAAGAAGCTACACCCTGCTTTGTAGCTAATGTTAGATACACAAATGGAAAACCAAGGTGAAATTCAGTTTTACCTGTCGTATTTTAAGATTTGTCTCCCCATCAAGATTAGCTGTTTCAATATAGCACATGGCTTGTGGTTCACTGTAAGAGCATAAGATTTTCAATATTAGAACTCAATACCTTCTGTATACTACTTTTGCACTAAAAAAGAAACAGACAGGTACATTAATAACACAATAGAAGTTACATTTTTTCTCTCCAGGGATTTTTTCTTAAAAAAAGTTTGAGTATGTTTTGTTTTCTCCTACATGGGCAAACTGAATCTGAACCCAAGGGAGACACAGATTAAGTCCAGCTTGATTCCAATTTAATGTCTGTCAAATACCTTATCTACTACAACTTCAGTAGTTAACTCAGGAGGGAAACCTTTTACAATACAATTCCTCTCATTTACACAGAAACGTGGAAGTGTTTCCATCCAACACTGTGTTTGCATTTAAACAGTTTTTCCTTCCTGTAATTTTTTCTCTATAAAATTCATGTAACACCACTTCTCTTCCATGTAGAAAAAAAGACTCAAGATAAAAACAGCTCTTCGTTTCACCACAAAAATCAACTCAGACACAGAAATTCACCACATACAAGCGTAAGACCCACCCCTTCAGAGCATGCAAAGCCTTCTGGTGAACTGAGGACACTTAATATTGTCATTTAGAAGAATCATGGGGAAAATACCAGTTGTAAACAGAACTGCCACAGAAATTGCTATTTACATCAAGCAAAGCTTCTCCCAAATCAACATACTCTGGGTTAAAATCTCCAGTTGTTATACAATTATCAGTGACAGCAGGTTAGTAGAATAATGTAGAAGAAAAAGCTGACCCATGCAAGTTAAGAAATAAATCAGAAGGGGTTTTAGTATAATACATTGGAGAAGTTCTCAAGTAGAACAAATATTCCTCAATGCTGCCTTGATATCCTAGTGTAGCCTAACTAACTGCATATTAAGGCTGACAACTGCTTATTTAAAATTTCAGGTTTAGTTGTGAAGAAATACTTTAGAACATTGTATACCATGGAATGACGGTATCTCTGTCCTCAATCATGTGACAGTTCAAGAAGACTGAGCTTCCCCATATGGCTTTCAAAAAATAAAGCCTTCCAGGAACGGTACAGCCAAGAAGCATGGAACTCAAAATGCAGTAGCTTAGAAAACAAGCTCCCTTAGAAGTTGGGTCATCTAAGAGAACCGTAATGTGGAGAGACTAGAGCAACCTGCAACCACTGTTAAACAGCATGGGGACAGAAGGAAATTATGGAGAAGAGCAATGTGTCATAAGGTTTGTCTATTAAAAAAAAAAAAAAAAAGGAAATCTGTTCAAGACCAGGAACTACGCTGTTGTCTCTTGTTTAAGTCTCATGAGCAGTATGCAACACTTTACTGTTGCTACCATGCTAGGGATGTGCCATACATGCACTGTATCAAAGACAAGGGATAAACAAATGAAGCCCAAAAGCTATTCTGCAGGCTAGTTAATAGATGCAAGCTGGGCTAACCTTTAGAATTACTATTTGAAAAAAATCTTTCCCAAGGCCAGGAAAAAAACATCGAAACTAAGTGGAATTAATCGGAAGAAAATTTAAGCTTTCTTAATTTAACAGTGATCCTCAGAAGGCCATAGAGCAACTGACTCCATGAAGCTTATGTAACAGACCTCCAGCCTTCCAACAAACTCAGTGCCAGATTTTGTGAATTACAGATACACAATACTATGAAATCCTAAAGAAGTGTTCTTTAAGAACCTATGTACCATGATACAAGAATCATTGCCTACTAAAGCACTGTTTTGACATCGTTGAAATCTGATTTTAGATGTGGAGAAGAATTAGTGCCATCTTTCGTCTGTTTCATTAACAGCAAATACAGAGTTTCAAGTCCTCTGCACCTCAGTTCATCAGCCACATCATTTCCACACCCATTCAGGATACCTGGAAGATATAATGATCATGTCTGCTGGAAGATGTTGCCCATTGGTGACCTTCACAATATCGCCTACTGCTACCTGTTGAGTCAGGGGCAGGAATACAGTAGCATGGAAAAGAAAAACAAACAGTTCGCTTGTCTGGAATGTTAGCTTGTTATTTTCTTTCACCCAGTCAAAAGAACAGCATCATGCACAGAACAGCTAGAGACAGTGCTTCTGAGAATCAGAGTACTTTTCACTGCAAGTTTGGAAGTATCAAAGCCTCCCCCTTCCCGAATGCAAAGAAAGCAATTCTCCGTAGGAAAAAAAAGAGACGTACTCAATAGGAAAGCATGAACTTCTGTGGCTTGTATTTATTAAAAATTACTTTTTTTCTATAACCTGCCATTAATCAAATTTGAGGATTTTTCCCTTTAGCCTTATTTAGCCTTCAGATTTTTTTCCTTAGTAAAAAAAGATATTCTTTGAACATTACCCTCCTCAAGTATCAAGTTTGTCCTACTCTTTCTCCATATGACTTACCTACCCAGTCAGCACTATCCTTTTCCCTCAGCCCTCTTTAGATGCACTGCTTGTAGCACTCACTAGCAAGGAATATTGTCTCCACGGATTGATAATATCTGCCAGTCCTTCCCTAACCTATAGTCACTTGAGATGGGCAAAGCCCTGACTTCTGGACTACTGAAGACCTACAAATTTCTGGCACCTTTAATGGGAATCACACACGCACGGGCCTTTCACTCTAAGGAAGACCAAAAAACACTCCCAAAAGTGTAAGCCAGGCTTGCCTGATGAGTATCAGGCTGCTTAGCATCAATGCACTGCTGAGAATCTGAAATGGGCTTAAAATACTTAACATATTGATTTATAAAAAGTAAACAGATGGCTTGTTTGAACAAGTAGATTCATTAGTCTTACTTTAATCCCACTGAAAACAAATTCCCTACTAATTTCAGCACAAAAAAGATCAGAAGTCTGCCCTAAAGTAAACAAGGTGGATAGTACAGAACTGTTACTCCCTAACAATACATGCAGTCCTCAACAACATGCAGATGCAGACACAGGCCAATTCAAGAAGTGCTTAAGGGTATAAGAAAACCAGATTCTGGACTCAGCTTTAAATATCTTTCAACTATGTGTCCACAACACAAATAGGGCATGGAACAGGACAAACAGGCATCAGCATTAGCCACCAGAATGCCCAGCAATCTTCAATTTCCACTATGGCCTAACACTTCAGCAGGATTGTTTTTAGGCCTCTTGAGGCAGGTCTCATTTCCCAGAAGTTTTAAAGGGATGTACTTTTTCCTCATTATGAGATAACAGGGCTAATTTTGTCCTAAAAAGGTATTAGGAATCATGATTAGATCAATAGATCTGGAGGGATTTCAGCAAGTTCTAGAAATAAAGCTCACCAGGTCCTAGCACAGGACTTCACAGAACATGGGTCCCGAGTGCCTGTCACAGCAGCAGGGTTTGTGTTCCTTACTTGAGTGAACAGCTTACTAATTAGCCTCAAAACCTGAAAACTTTTTAGCACAGGTACTGAAGTAAGTCTGCTACACTTTCAGGGCAGGTACAGCATTGCAGTGAAAGTTACTCTTCTAGATGTGAACTAAAACCAAAATACTGTTTACAAAATTAATTATATTAACTACCCAAGTGAAAACACAGTTCATTAGCATTTGACTGAAACACAGCCCTAGGATTTCAAGATGGTACTCAGGTGCCTTGCTCAGGGCAATATTCATCACTGCAACAGAAAGGATCTCTCCCACCCCAAATCACAGGGAGTTCTCACATCCTGTACTTTTATTCTAAGCCTCCAAATTTATTTTGGCCAGAGTACTACTTGAACACCTTCCTCCCAGTCCTTCCCATCCCCAATTTTATTTACCTCTTTCCACATAATGTTCTGCCACATCCCATTTCTTAGTACTAGAAAGAAAGTTTAAAGTTAGATTAGAATAAATAACCAAGATTAGGACAAATATCATAACAATTATATCAGCAGAAGCAAACATTGACCAGAACAGGAAGTAACACGCAGATTAGGGAAGTACTTTTCGGAAGCTGGGACCACACTTCTGTCTTCAGCTGTAGGCTGATACATCCAAGAAAGCGGAATAATCTTCCCTTAGTATTTATATAACTTTTAACACTCTCTAGACAACACTTGGTGGTCTGATCTCTTCTTGGCAACATTTCATACTAACCTGCAGATGGACAGTGTTGTTATTTGTTTGGGAAACGACCTTCTTTAAAACAAAGGGCATTATTGCCCACTGTCAATCAGTATCAGGAAGCATCTTCACTCTATGTATGATTTAACCACAGATTTTTCAATTCTCACCTTTTTCATTGCATTTCATTTGTTATGTTTTGACTCTGACACATCCAACTTCACTACGATATCAATTGCCCTTTAAGGCTGAGGCTTAATTGCCAAGCAGGTTCAAAGTCCTACTAAAAAGCAAAGATCAGCCTTGGCAGAAGGATAAACCTAAATGTTAAAGTTCACACTGAAACAAAAAAAATAGAAAACACGGTACTGACACAGGTCTTTGCTTCTGCAGTGCCCAAGTCCCGCACTGCTGTAACACACTCACTTGTCAACTACTCTGGAACATGCTTTTCCACCCAAGCAGTTCTTCTAGATGCTTCTACGCATACTTAATACCACCCTCACCTGAACAGTATGGGCAAAAGTTTATGCCCAAACATTGCTGACTAATCAAATCCAGTCAAGGTCTGAGCACAGTAAGTACACCTAAACAAACTTAAACCATTCACTGAAAGCAGCTGTGGCCAGTTTACAAAGATGTTCAAAAAGTTCACAGTTAGAGGCCAGCCCCCTGCTTTGAACACAAACAATTTTCTCTTCAACTCTATGCAACTCACATGCACAGTTCATTTGAAAAATGCACCAAATGCCCAGAAGATACAATTCTGCTGAATACGGTCTCAGCCATCCTACTCTGGTTAGAGCACCACAGACATGAACGCACTATTTGTCAGAGCAGCTCAAGCACAAGAAACCCGTCTCTAGATTCCCCTTCTCAGGCCGCACACTTTGAAGCACTGAATCCTGAGATGTAGTATTACAGTGGATGGACGACGCTGAATTAAACTATTTCACAAAAAATGGGCGGGCATCAGTAGAAGCACTTAGCTCCATAGGAATAGCTTGTGTTCCTTAAGGTTCTCTCTCCACAATTACCGTGATAAACTTCCCTTGAAGTTTGTTTGCATATGTTCCCTAACTACAAATTCATTAGAACTGCCTATGTGACCTCTGAAAGAGCAATTTTTCATATTACCTATAACAAGGCCTGTTGTGCTACAGCCAGTTAATTGTGGATTTCTCATGACTAACAGACAGTGTCCTTGCACTTGAAACATCTTCCCAGACTCCTGTAGAGAAGTTACCTTGAAGAACTAGTAAAGCAATGCTTTTTGATGTTCGGTAATATACTATCTCAGTGATCAACTTCTCAAGCAAAAATGAAAAAACTCACGGAAAATAGTCCCGCAAACATTACACCTGTTAACTGAAGCAGGGAGCTTGCAGGTTGTTCAGTTCCCTGTCTCTAAGTGTTTCTCTAGCTTTTACATACTTAAGCTAAATGTGTTTGGGAGGAAGAGGCTCTAGACCAAAATCAAGTCCCTGCATTTCCTATTTCACCTACAGTTCTCCCCAGAGGAGCAGCAGAGCAGCTGTCCAACACTGGACCATGGAGACCCCCTGACTGCAGCACAGACAGGCCACAGGACAGCTGTCAAACTCTTGCCCTTTTCTGCACAGGTTCTCAGTTAAGGGAGATGAAGAAAAAATAAAAATGTCCTCAAGAATTCAGTGCCAAGTAGTATCAATACGTTATAGGCATTCAGAGGACAGTAGTGTTAAATTCTTTCAGTGGCACTTCAGAATGGCAAATCCACAAAGCCCCAGAGTTCCTCCTATAGCTCAAGGGCGACAGCCTTTATAAAAATTACTTAATATTCCGTTGACACCAACTTCTAGTGTTTCAAGGGTTTGTTGGGTTTTCTTTGGTTGGTTGGGGTTTTTTGTTCTGAGTGATTTTAGGTTGGATTTTTTTGTGATTTTTTTGTTTTGATTTGGTTTTTGTTGGTTTTTCTTTTTTTAGAGTAAGAAGGATAGAGTTTGGCAGTGGAGAAAATTGCTTGGTTTTCTTGGAGGAGCTCAGAACTGTATAACTTTGGACAACCTTGAAATTACACGAACTTAAAAATTGTAATAATCCCCCCCATGCCTCGTCCTCAAGTGTCACACTACCAGCATCAGTCTGAAAATTCTAGTAAAATTCTAACATACCAGTAACTACCTAGTCCATGACAACATGCATTTCCCAGCACCATAACTGTTTAAGCAAGAGTTGTTCAGAAGTAAGCATTCTGGTAGTTACTGTTTGCACTTTAAATATTTAGCTTAAAGGCTATTTAGTCTTACCTACTGTTTTCTTTTTATTCACTGCACTGTCTGCCTTATGCCTTTTCTGCAAGGAAAAAAAAAACATTACATTAAATCTCATTATACTTTATTACAGATTCAAAACCATTAGAGCTGGAAACATGATGAACTTCAAGGTGATATATTGAGTTGTTGCCTTTTTTTTTTTTTTTTAAAGCTCCACAAATCTAAATTCAAATGGCTTGTAAGTTAATATAATAGAGCTTTAAACTGAGAATTCCCATGTTGGAAGTCAGGCTCAAACCTGCATCAAAAGTAAAAAAAACTTAAGTTTCCAAAACTGGATTTTGGAAAGAAAACAAAAAGAACAATGAGGAACAGTATATTTAGATAACAGCTGCACCATACATTTTATTTGCTGTTTGCTTAGACTGATTTAGAAAATATTTTATTCTTTGGGATTTTGCAAAGCAGAAGGATCTCTATTATAAACAGTATCCTATCAAGGTAGTGCAAATTTTCCCCAAAACAGCATGCTCTAAAGTTACTTGCCATGCCTCCCCTGCCCCTCCATTTTCAAAACCAACTTAAAAGGCCACATATCTGTCAGGACTTTACAGTGTCTTTCTAATAAAAGCACAAATAAACAAGTTTAAAGAGGTAGAAGCAAGTGCCCTAGCTTCTATTATGTCCTTGTTCACCATCTATAACTAAAGCGCTTAATTTATCTCAATGCTACAGAAATTCTAGTCAAGTTCAGAGCTTTGAAAGGCAAAAGGATATTTTGTTGCTGTCCAGCAATGGTCCAATAAATTTCAGAGATGCATAGCTTTATGGCATTTTGTGGCTTTTTGGAAACACTGTCTTTAGCACAGCCTTCCCCATAATCATACTCACATAATCTTCTATGATTTCTTTGATGCCAGCAACTGTTAAAATAAATAGCAATGGCACCAAGGTGGTATATCTTCCTGTCGGAGAGACATCTGGAATTTGCTGTGAACAGAGAAAGAAGAGATAGGTATTTTATATTTGTATTTAAAATTAGTCTCCAGCAAATTTATAACTTTGTGCAAAGCTCTCAGAAGAGAAAACACAACACTGTGATTTGTGCCTCACTGATATCCAATTTCAGTGGGCAAACTAGACTAAACTCAGTAGGTTGGAAGAAACTACAAATGTGAAGTTAGAATATAAATTGTTGTACATGCTTTTTATTTTATTTCTCTTCACAAGAGAAGCATTCAAATGATGTAATTCACCTGGAAGCAGTGATAATCCGGACTAAGCAGTCAACAGTTTCACAAGAATCCACACGTGCTTTTCTCAGTATGAGCAATAGCTCCGTATGTTACGATACTACTTCTTGGTTTTACTTATGAAGAATAGAAGTAACTCAATTTTACAAACTACACTGAAAAAACCCTCTGAACTGCCATTCAGTTTCAATTATAAAGTACATACCTCCTTAGTATTACTATTAAAATATGTCTAAGAATTTCTTTGCAGTTAAGCATAACAACTGAAACAATTTGTATGGCATTGCAATTTCATTTTATAATCAAGGCAAACCAATAAAACAATACCTGCAGTAAGGCAATGAAGAGGAAGAATGCATTTGCAGCTTTTCTTATCTGCTCATACAGGAATCGAGGTAGAAATGTCACCACACTGTACTTAGCTGTGCTGCAGGTTAGAAGATATTTATTTTAGTATTTCATTGGAAAATTAGAAATCAATTAATTGGAAATCCATTAGAAATCATACAGGGATTATGACCAAGAAGTTTCAAGTAGGCTTCTAAAAGCCAGTGTCAGAAACTTATTCAAAGATCACATCGTGAAGACATATAGAGCATGGAGGAAGTTGCCTGTATTATGAAGAACCCTACCCAACAGAAGAGGTATCGCACAGACCTGGAAGGCTGACAGTCCCACTTCAATTAGCGGTGCCTTTATTACTGGATCAACTATCAGATAATTTACTATCCATCCAAAATTCAGCACCATAAACTGAAAATCTTTCACCACAGTTGCAAGCACTTGAGCAAGTGTTTACCCCTCACCAAAACATGGAATTTCAGTGTTGGGGGAGGCAGAATTAAATATGGAAGAAATCAGAAATTCTGCCGTGCCATTTTTAAGATGCCTCATTTCCCAGTTCAGAACTACTCTATATTCAGTTATGAGTAATCCTCCAGGAAAATACACACTTTTTCAGATAAATCTTTTCCGGCTATTTTTCCTGAGTAGTTGTTTTACTATTGCATCTACCTTAAAAGTATACTGCACTAACTAGTCTCAATAAGCTACATAATTTCTGGTCTCCCTCACACCAAACCCATGATGGCCATGAACACAACTACAAGAAGAAGAGCATCCAAGATGACAAGATGATTTAACCATTCCAGTTTTAAATGAGTTGAATAAGCCGCCCCCACGCTGTCAAGTTACCAAAACCAACCTAAAAGAGATTAAGACTCTTGATCTTGCAAAGTCCTCGCTCTCTGAAAACATTAGTTACAACCCAGCCACTTAAATAACCTTCCTGAAGCAGGGCAAGGAAACTCATCATGCTGCAGGACTTGGAGCTGTATGAGTGACTGAGTCTCTCCAGTAGCATGTAGTGTTTCATTATATGAGGAAAAAGTATTTTTAGAGCAGAAAGAGCAACTCCACCTTGCTTTTCCCCCACTGAATTAGCACACCACCATCCCCCATTGTTAACTACTTAGGCATCAGCATGAGTTGGAGTATTAAGGACCAAGTGCTTGCAGCTATAGTTCAGGTGTCTTCCCTCAGGCACCAAATCTAAGATCTGCAAGAGCCAGACAACCTGTGACAAGAATTTTGGTTCGTTGGGGTTTTTGTTTTTTAAAAGTCTCTTATTTCCAAGGAACTGAGAACCGAAAGGTGCTCCTTTCAAGAAACCAAAAAAAAATAGTTTCTTGAAGCACTAACACAACAACTTCATGAATACAGGCAACAAGCTGTTTTACCCAAGTTTCCCAGAAGTGTCAAGAGCACCTTTTCATTAAGCCTGGTCCTCTGCATGAAATGATTTTCTGGTTCTCTCCTACCAATAAGCCTTTCAGAGCAGTTGAAATTCATGGCATTGCTATTTACAAATCATGAAGGACTAGCATAAATCCAACTCCATCTATATGACCTGCCTTTCACAGAATACTATGCATAAAAAACTCTTATTACAACCTTAACCCACAAGCAGTTTTGTGGGGTTCTCTTGTCTTTGTATGTACAACTTTAAAGAACTGCATTCTCCAAGACCACTTGTTTGCTTTAACTATTTCCTTCTCCCTCTCATCTTCCCCATCCCCAACTCTAAGACATCTATTGAGATACTGCTGCATCTTGCAGAGTCAAACAGTAACAAGATCCAGCACGGCACAATTCATTATATGGAGCTCTATTTTGGACATTAAAGCAGAATCAGTGGTGCAATTTAAACAAAATAATCAATAAACAGTTAAGATATCATCTTATCACCTAGTTTCCACTTCAAGCAACTACAAACCCCTACCATGTTTGATGCAAGTCAACTATTACTTTAACTGGATGTCTAAAAAAGGCAACATGACAGCATTTCTAGCGCTAGAGTCTACAGGCTTTCTATTGCTACTACTGCTCAGCAAAACCATGTATTCAAATACACAATGTGATATTTTACAGAAATCTCAGCTGGTCAGGCTTCAACATAGATTACACCAACTAAGCCAAATGCGTGAAAATTTGCTTTCAGATATAAAGCATGTAACATAGTACATCTACTATATAAATGAAGAAAAGTTAATTCCTTGAATTGCTATTAATATCTTCCAACTATACACATTTTTTTTTGTTTTAAGCCACACTTGCCTTGTCTAATGTGTAATAACCTTCCTTCATTACAGAACATAATTAAACACACATCTCAAGTACCTTGTGACTTAAAAAATGTGTTAATCAAGTTAACAGTTTAGACCTACACATAAACTCCCCAAGCAATACCAACTGGAAATCAAGCATTAGCAGATTTTTATATCAAAATAGTATTCCCCTGCATATCACATTGCTGTAACTAAAGCCAGAATTGGTCCGACTGCAATCAAGCTGAAACATTTAATAACACACTACCATTCACCAACTTTACAGCTAACTGGTCTAAACAATATTCTTACTGTAATGATTGTGTTAATGCCAACACAATAAGGATCTTTTAAACGTGCTTTATACATATTAAATCATTCCATGTTTCTTAAGCAACAAAATACATGACAGATGCCTACAGAAAATGGGTACAGCTCTAATTAGAGAGGGGCACATTCTGCTGTTACTATGCAGACCAGGAACTGTAATCATGCATGCACATAAAAAGCAGGTGCATGTTGTTATTCCAAAAGAAATCTTTTTATGAAAAGCTAACTAATACTCTAAACTGGGCAGGAGTATTTGATTAATTTGACTGTGAAGAATACCTCTCAAAAAAACAAATGCAATACTTACAAACAAAAAAACCACTGTGCTCCCTCCCAACAGATAGATGCATTGTAGATGACTGGGATAATCAAAGCCCGAAAAGAAGTTAAAAATCTACAGGTGAACAGGTAGAAAATTCAGGCAGCTCGCTCACAGCACAATTTTGGTCACTAAAGGGTAGCTATCTGCAGAGATTAGCCCTCTGACCAGCACCAGTCAGAGCCATCTTCTCTTCAAAGAAGCCCCAGCTACCCAACTCCAAGAACACCAGGTCTGCAGCTCACAGAACAGGTTGTGGAAGGGGATGGAGGGAAGCACATGAAGGAAACCAAACAACAAACTGCTTTTTTCCCAAAGTAACAGCTGTTAACTGCACAAAGCTTGCCTAACTACAGAAGTTTGATGTTTAAACAGGTGTGCAAACATTAGAACAAATGTCTCCTCTACATCTACATTTTAATTCATGTAAGTCATGTTTCAAGTTAGACCACTGTGCTAGTCAGAAGGAACACTACCAAACCCTGTTAAATGAATGAGTTTGGATACAGATCAGTACAGCTGAAAGTCTGGCCCCACTGTGGCAGTGCAGAGATTTTTCTGAAAGCAATCACTGTATAATTTGAAAAGTTAGTGTCATTTACATACCTCAACTCACTACCCAGCTACTAAACTACCAAGGATTAACTAGTTATTTCGATAACACTTAAATGAAAAATTGCAAACAGTGTACTAAGAAACTCAGTGGTAGTTTTCCAGTATAGTCACCCCATTCATTGAAGTGGAATTTCTGCATGACAACTCCCATATTATTATCCCTCAAACAGGGTTCATTACTCAGCGTGCTAAAGCCAATCTTACACACAGAGCTGAGAAATCAGTTTATTCTATATTTGTGCAAACATGGATGCTTGGTGGTAATTCCACAAAGCTAGCCCACTGCACAAAAGAATTTTTAAGTTATTTATACACTTCAGATTACATGAATACACATTTACTATAATGGCCATTGGTTAGTTTCTTACCACTCTATCCATCATTGGATAGTAACACGTCTCATCTCAATTTAAAGTTACAGTGGGCATGATTTTTACTATTATAATGAGGATGGTTCCTCCAAAGGACACACTAATCTCTAAGCTGATTTACACCACACATTTTAATGAGCTTCCATATTTCAGAATCTCCAAGGGCAGTAGCTCCTGATTAGAAGTGCCTCACTAAATCATTGCTGACCATTTAAGCAGACTGACCTAATTGATACATCCTATATGTCCTTGTACTTGATGAGAAACATTTGTATGGGCTACAATTGTTGCCATTTTCCGTGCTCACCAAAACTTTCATAAAGTCAAGTTATACTCTGTTAAACCATCCTTGAAGAGGCAAAGGCTGCCAGTAATTGGGGCAGAGAGGTTACTTCCTTGAGAAGTGTATGTGTGCTGGCAACATGCATCTGAATACAGCTCTACCTTTTCCCAGCCAGCCATCTAAAGCACTTCCACTCCCTCCTTGAAAATTTAGATTGAAAACTCCAATATGATCTTCTTCACTTTCAGGCTAATCATGATAAAGAAAACGGGACCTCCTTGAGGTCTCACTTCCAGGGCAACGAACTGTCCTTTCCTAGGCAGCATTCACCCACAGTTCACATGCTTGAAATACTCTCAAATCCAAGAGCAGAAGAATGAGTACTGCTTGATGTTAGTGCTTTTAACACACATCAATTCACGAGTACAATTACTAAACCAGGCACAGACACCTGAACCACAGGAGAGGGGCTGGGTAATTGAAGTGAATGTTAAGGACTTGAACTCTTCTCTCAAACAGGCTTTGTTTCCATTAACATGTACAAAGGATCAGATGCCCTGTAACAGAAAAGGAAGAAGAAAATAATAAAACACCAAGATAGATCAACTTGAATTAAGGGCTCAAATACTGTCCCCAGTGGAATGATGTGTGCATGCTAAGGTCCTGCAAGCACATCACACTTATTTTCACTGCAAGATAATATCAGCTTCAGAGGTTGTGCTGTAGCCCTCAAGTACAGAAGCAGTATGAACACAAGCTACCTCCAGTCACCACGGCTGTGGAAGGAGCAGCAGGCTAGCTTTACATATTTCAAGTGACCTTCAACTACATTAACAAAAACCAACAGGCAGTTATTACACTGGGCACAGAGGGAGCTCATTCACAGGAACATCTCACCAGCAA